TGACCTCGTTGGACACGCGGAATATGGTTGCTCGCTTCTTCACTACCGTGTGCGTACACCTTATCATTTTGTTTGTTGTAGCTCTCTTCTACGGTAAAAATTTTTTCATCCGAAAAAAGAATTTCCCGATAATTTTTTCCCGCGTACCGCTTCAACAACGCGCGGCATCTCTTCAGTCTCAAGTCCATTAGACGAGCATTCAAACGATGTCCTGTTTTTCTTCGATATGCCCGAAGCCCTAAGACTTCATTTAACACCCTTTTCACCGTGGTTCTGCTTAACTCCATCTGAAGGGCCAACAGTTTTTGCTTACGTTTGGGATTTCTTTGAATTCGCGCCTTCACAGCTTTTATCACTGCTGGAGTCCTAACAGACTGGGGCGACCACTTCTTGACCTGTCATCTACACTAGAGTCTTCATTGTATCGTTTGATGGTACGATAGACGAATCTTTTGGTTATATTCAAATTTTTCAGTATGTCAAAAATTTGAATTGGCGCGTAACCGCAACGATGCAACGCAATAACTGCAACACGGTCTTCTTTAAGCGTCCACTCCATATTTAAAAATGAGCAAAATTCTAAAAAGTATACAGTTTTATTTTCATGAACAATTCTAAATTCAAATTCAATAAACTTATTTGTGGCCAGCATTAGAAAAGAAAAGTTTTTACTGTGTGACAATACTGACTGCCTAATAGCAATATTACGACGATTTGCTTTTAGACTGCCTCTGTCGCGATGACCTAGTGGTTGTAAGCGCGACTGATGATTTGTTTAATGACGGCCTCATGTCGAGTCTTGCCAAAATTATTTATTGCGTTTTTTATCAAGAACTTCTCAGTAACAGCCTGAAGTCAGGAAGTTGGCAGTGTTTCACCTCGAAAGTACGACAAGCCTTTGGTCCTGCGCCTAATCGCCTAAGCGGCCGGCGGTAAGACGGCCGGGTGCTTCTATTTGCTTAGGATCCTTATAGTAATTAAAATAAGTAAGTAGTAATAAGTCAATCTATTTATTTATAACATAAAAGTTTTTAATGTTGATATGACCACTATAAGATGTTGTTAGGTTAGTTAGCTAATTACGTAATAACTTGAGACAGAAGGACCCTTAAGTAGGGACTGAATAAATTAACCGACTTGGTATTACATGGATCTCACAACTTTTTACGGTAGAAGAACTGAGTTGCGAGACTTGGCCTTTTTACAAGTTATGTTTTTGATGGCATAAGTTCTTTTCTTGAAAGTCCCAAAGTCGTATCGGTCCGGAAAAAACATCAGTGGTAAACTATCAGAGAGGTCCGACGAGGAAGAAAACTCCTAGTAAAACGTATAGTGGATGGTATCGGGATTTGATTTAAGTAGATTTAGTTTTTTTTTTTTGTTTAAATGGCAATTTGATGGAGTATTCTAAGCTATGATTCAAGAAAATCAGCTATTTGTGTTTCGGGTTCTTTTTTTAAATTTTCAATTTAAGTTGTTTAGGCGCTTTATACAACAAATTAAAAATGAATACTCTACTCACACTTGTTCACTACACACACTTGTTCACTCTACTAAAACGTTATACGTACAACAAACACAGACCATCAAAGATAGCTAGAGAGAACACCACGTACATTTCAAGTTACGTTGAAACCACTCTTATTACTTCTTTCTTTCTTTAACAGCCCGTAAAAGTCCACTACTAATAATACTACTACACACTGCTACCGTAAGATCCTCGACAATAGTCTACTTTTTTATATAGAAATAGGGTGACAAGCGAGCACACAGTGCACCTGATGGCAAGTGATTGCTGAGGCCCATAGACATCTACATCTATCCTCGTTTGCGAATCAAAATGCAGATGCGTTGTCAGCCTTGAGGACTAAGATGGAATGCCTCTTTTCCAGTAAAAAGGGTATCCGGTTCTCTACGCTCACCATACGAAATACAGCGGCATTAAGCTGCTATTTTACGCTGGTAGCCTGTGAGAGCGTGGTCCTTCCCGTGCTACAACTGTACTATAAATATAGCTGCAGCTTGGCCCTACCACATAAATAACTACTGCTGAACTTGGGCCATAGATTGCCACGCTTGGCATGCGGGTTCGCAACAGCATTTTTTTATTGCGATGCACCAGGAGCATTGCAATAATTAATATCGTCTATTATCGTCGTATTATATCGTCTATAGCCTCTAACAAAACTCACGAGATGACAGTGGATATCCTTACACAGTCATTGCTTAGTATGAACAAACCAAATTCAAGTTGACTGGGAGAGAACTTAATGCCAAAAGGCATTAAGTTCCCCTCAGTAAACCTTTTTATTAAGGTGTTTAAACCACATTAATAAAGTACAGTTTGGCGGTAGACTGTACCTAATTATATTTATTAAACTTAGTAAAATGCTGTTCTTGCTTTAATTTTAATACTAAACGTACCTACATAGAATTAAATATTGTCTTATCTCTGAGGCACACCCTCATAAACTATAATTATTCTGCCGAAAAGGGGATTTTTCATGTATTTACATAACACATCAACGAACGTATAATATAGTTTTTTAACCTCGTTACTGTGTTAGTTTAAGCATTATGATTATAATGTTTAAGAGCTATGATAATTATGATTAAAGAGGATCGCCTGGTTTTCTTGGAACGCTAGAAATTTATTTGCTTGCTAATTATTTACAAGTGTTAATATGTGTCTTTGTGCAGCATATTGATACGATATGTTTTGTTATGTGTAACCGTTTTTAGTTACATTTTGATATATCGTACTCATGCCTACCGGATACCCTTTTTACTGGTCTCGGTACCTCGTTACATCCCATCTTAGTCCTTAGGGCTGAAAATGTTAAAAATTGCATTTTAGTTATAAGTACTTTTATATGCATTTAGTAAAAAACTGTAATTTTGAGATTACACACAGACTAATATTTTAACTTTATTTACTTTTTATTATTTTATTTACTAATACTTTTAATTTTATTTATTTGTAATAATGTTTTAGAACTTGTCGGAGGTCAAATTTTGTATATTTTCTGGGATTTTGTTGTAAATGCGCACATAGCTCCAAGAATGAATTACTGACTCGGTGGAGTTCAGTAACTGGTACTACACTGCTAACACAAGTTATTATAGTTCTGTTAATGTTTAAACACTAATCTATACGTATAAATAAAATTGAAGTGTCTCTCTGTTATATTGTAATAACTGGCTTCTATTAAGCTCGTGGGTTATATGCATGCCATAAAGGTATGCTATAAATAACCATTGTTAAAAGAGCAATGGCAGACTTTCATACATAAAATTAGTTGAGAAGAAATGGTAGCGTCTATATACCGAAAATATCTTAAAATGTTAAGCATCAGTCCCTTAATAACTCTGTCAAAGAATTTTGTACTGAGAAGGCGTCAAAAAAAAGATATTTACATTTGAACCTTTTTAGATTATGTCCTATGTCACTTGGAAAGAGTCATGCTTCCAGTGGTTGTTTGATGTTAGCTTAATAAATAATACATAATTGAGAGTTTTTAGATTATTGTATCTCTATTATATATTTGCATACTATGAATGTATATTTCTGGCATGGCTCCAGGGCTTTTGTATGATAGTGACATTCTCAGAAGGGCTAGAACCCAGAACCGTAAAGCCAGTAAAAAAAACAGTGACATTTTATTTTAGCTAGTGTTGGCATAACATTAAATGGAATTGTTACATAGTACTATGATTGAGATAATGTATTATTGTAGGAAATTCTTTGTAAGAGACTTATTCTCAGCCATATCACTTTTATTGTTATTATTGCTGATAGTACAGTTATTACTAATAATAACTTAATATAAAAATATTTTGTGTGTTGTGTTGGTAGTGTTACAAAGTGTATACGAAAATAGTATGAATATACTAAATGGCAACATTTGAATAGAGTAAAATGATTTCAGTCATTTGATATTCCCAAAAATGTTAGTTTTTTTCTGTGGCTTTAATTAAAAAACATTTTTATTTGAAAAATCATAGAAAAATAATAAAATTCATTTTATATATAACTTATTTCTAGACGCTATAATTTTTCTCAACTATTTTTCTGCCATTGCTCTTTTTGTTTATCTGTCTGTCAGCCGGACTAATCTTCGGAATGGCTGAACCGATTGTGATGTTACGAACAGGTAGAGTGCAATGCCAGAAGGGATATAGTCTATATAATCTAAAAAAAACTTGAGGACTTTTTTCTGAAACAAAAAAAATATAATAAATGACCTTTGACTATTTAAAACTAAATAACGCCACATTAATACAGTCTACGCAGGCGAAGCCGGTGCGAGTCACTAGTTAGTACATATAATTGATGTACGATGGCAGCGTAAGACAATACACTACTCAAAATAATCCTGTACTGCAATTACATACATAAACACCCACATCTGTCACCCAGAGGGGTAGGCAGAGACTACGGACTTCCATTTAGCATGATCCTGATACACCTCTCTATCCTACCTTACATCCATACACCTACGTGTACATGTACGTTGGTTAAGGGTACTCTTAATCTGGCCCATTTTCAATACATCGCCAATTTAGTCGATAAACTTTCGTCTAGGGCGTTCCTTCTCGACTCACACCGTTCACATCTGCAACATAGATTTGCTTTGTCACTCTTTCCTCGTTCATTCTTTCTACATGACCAAACCACCGAAGTATTCCTTTCCTAATACTGGTCACAACATCATCTTACAATCAACTTTTCTCTTATCACACAATGCCTCACCCCCGTCATTCATATTCAGCCATAAAAACCCTGTGTTTGTCGTAAATCGTAATAATATCGTAAATAGTAAACTGTAGTTGCCAACCTGCCTCCCAAGCATGGTTACTATGGAAAATATCCATATCCTATCGTCATTGGAGGTCATCAACTTCTGGTGGTGGCCTATGTCCAACAGTAGACTTTTGAAGTGCTGTAAGTAATAAATCTGCTATAAAATCCTCTTTAACTTGACACAACAAATTTTCAGGTTATATCTTGCATGCCGCCAAACTTCCTGTTACTAGACCTTGGCATGGCAATCAGCTTTGCAACGATTGCAGTGCCTAGTCTACTTAACGCCAGCGAGGGCTTGTCGTTGGACGAAACTCAAGCATCATGGTTTGGTAAGTTGAAATATTTACTAATTAAACACTTTCGGAATTACCCAGGTGTATATATCTATCTGTCTGACCGTCTGGAACAAACACATAAACGTTTTTCTGAGAGATTATTTTGCAATAGTAGGTTTCAACGTGTAGCGGTGATGTAAGAATATCCACTACCTCATATCGTTCCGAGGCTGTTCCAAGAGTCGACAGAGGGAAAATAAAACAGGAGATGGGTAGTAGCAACTTCCTGATAAAAACTCAAAATAATAAAAAACTGCCAGGTTAACAAGCGTAGCAACTATGATGAAATCCCCCCATGAGGCAATCTATGAGGGATAGTTTATGTTCAGCAGTGGACTTTTATAGTCTGTAATGAATTGATGGATAGAAGTTTTAGACGTTAAATATGAAAAATTTAAAATAATTGTGTGTATCATACGCTCTGCACTTTTCAAGAGATCCATCTTTATTTGATAAATTTTACTTAACCTATTGCCTAAAAAAATTGATTGTGTGTTGTTGTAAAACTTGTCCCGTAGTGTCCAGCGTATCACCGAAAATATCGTTGCAAGAAAGATTCATCATCATATATCATAAACAATTTGAAAGAAATTTCGTTTGGTTATAGTGCATATTTATTCGAATATTTTCTGGGAAAAATATTTAAAAGTTGTTGTGATCGATCCGTTTTACGAAAATAATCTTAATGCCCTGAATGAAAATTTCAAAAAATAAGTTAAGAATAATAAGCCAAATTAAAGTAACGGTGGGGTTGTTTGCACTTAACAGGAATTATGCATAAGATTTTTCACGATTAATTCCATTATTATTATCAATAGTTTTATCTTTATTATAGGGGCGGTGTATATAACAAACTTACATGCTTATACTTAAACAAAATAAACCAGTTTTTTATTAGATTAAAAAAACAACAATAAACATAAAAAATCAAGAAAATGTTTCTTCATATTTTATATACAAATACAAGACATTTTCTTAAAGTATAACTACATTTAATTATAAACAAAGCAGATAAAAATTTGAGGGTACAAGGTTATGACTATATGGTGGATGCATTAACACTTCCCAACAAAGCTATCTCAATATTTGCTTAGTTGCCAGATATGGTCAGGCGTTATCATGTTGAAAGACCACTCCTTTTCTGTTGGTCAATTCCGGCCGTTTTGTGTAGAGATCCGAATCGGTGGTTTTGCCCGGCGGTAAAATCTCATAATAAACAATGCCCTTCCAATCGCATCCTACACACAGCATCACATTATTGCGTGTTAATCCGGGTTTCGCTACAGTCTGTGGAGCTTGATTACCCTTGGGCCATGATCTTTTTCACACGTTCTAGTCGTAGGTGATCCATTTTTCATCACCAGTAATCAACCTTTTCAAAAATGGTTCGGTTTCATTACGTTTCAATATAAAATCGCAAATGAGTTCACGATTCATTAGGTTTCTTTCAGTGAGCTCGTGTGGTACCCAAATATCCAGATTTTTTGTATAGCCAGACATTTATAAATAATTCAGAACTGTTTTGTGGTCAATTTTCATTTCCTCGGCTATGTCGTAACTACTAATATGCCAATCTTGCTCCACTTTTTCAAAAATGGCATCGATTTTATCCGTATGAGGGCGACTAGAGCGAGCTGTATCTTTGATATCAAAATTCCCGCACTGAAAACGCTTGAACCAACTTTCTGCTGACTGACTGACACTACATTAGGTTCACCAACGTCACAATGTATTTTCACGGCTTGAGTCGCATTTTACCCTTTTTTGTAATATAACTTCACAAAGTATCGAATTTCTACGTTAGGTTTAGTCATTTTGGCGGACAGATAACTAATGAAAAATGGCGGGAAAGTGTTTTTTACTTTTTGTTTTTCTTTTTCTTAGTGTCCTATACGTATTGATATTGAAACCAACCAGATACAAACAGTACAACCAAAGAGATTTTTCTTAAATTTTATACACACAACAAAATACGATGATACTTTTTCCCGAATTATGTTCCAGAAAAAAAATATGTTTGCAAATTACTCTCCCATAAACTAAAATAATAAATTTAAATTAAGCCCAGAGGCAATAAATCTGAAATTTTATATGTAATTTATTGTATGTACGAGTATCATTGGAAGTAATACTTACGGAGTAACATTATTTAATCTGTGGTTATTCTGTTTCATATGAGAAATAAATCCTTTAAAGTCAAACCTAAATTAAATTTATAATTTAAGGCCGGACTGACATATGAATTTTTTCTCTTCCTAAATATTCGAATATAACTCTATATTAAAAATTTTGAGTAATTAATGCTAAGCCCGTGTCTAGTGATAAAATACGTAAATTAGCCCATTTTTTCACGGGGTAGAGCCATTCTGGTATAGTTGTAGCGTAAAATAGCAGCTTAATGCTGCTGTGTTTCGTATGGTGAGTCTAGAGAACCGGAGACCCTTTTTACTGGAAACGAGGCATTCCATCTTGGTCCTCACGGGTGACAACGCAGCTGATTTTGATTCGTAATCGAGGATGAATGTAGATGTTTATGGGCCACGGCAACCACTTACCATCAGGTGGACTGTGTGCTCGTTTGTCACCCTTATCCTATAAAAAAATCTAGTCAGTACAATACTAAGAAAATGTCAAATATATTTTGTTTGTAAAATGCTTTGAAGTAAACTAACTACTGAAACCAACCAACCATCGGATCCAAAATACACGATTTTCCATCATATGACGAAATATTTTTTCTTTTTCAGGAAGTCTTTCATATTTAACACAACCGGTTGGAGCATTACTCTCGGGTCCTATAGTAGACTACTGTGGACGAAAAAGAGCCAATTTTCTCGTTAACATACCACATCTTGTTGCTTGGATACTTATGTACTTTGCTTGGAATCCACCATCACTTTTCATAGCTAATGCTCTTCTTGGACTTGGAACTGGTGTCATGGAAGCACCAATCAATTCTTATGTGGGAGAAATCAGGTAATCTCCCACTTTTTCAAATTAATTAACATAATGGATGCGCTTCGCAGGTCGATTCACGATTACAATACCAGACGCCTCACATTTTTCACTCCGTTTCTGTAGTTAATTTGGATATATACATATAACTACTCTCAATTCAAAAACTATTTCAACATCATCATCCTTATGACATCCCTTCACAAGTCCAATTGTTGGGAGCACTACGTTCGAAATTATCGACGAGTATGTTTAACTAGGACAATAAGTCTGACTAGGTAAGTCTGGCTGGCCAACGTTTGGGAGATTACGACAGATCTTCTGGTCAGGTATACCTCAAAACTTGAAAACGAGATTGTACAACCAATACGCATTACCAGTGATAACTTATAGATCTGAGACGTAGTCCTTCACTGCTGGCCGTATGCGGAAGCTCAAGGTCGCTCAGCGAGCTATGGAAAGTGCTATGCTTGGGAATTTTATGCGTGACAGACTTACAAATGAGGATATCCGCAGTAGAACTAAAGTATCCGATATAGTCCAACGGATTTGTATAAATAGTTTACTAGCATTTAAATATAATGTGTTAGTCAAGGTCTATTGTCATAATTTGTTAAAAAGTAAATTTTATTTATTATATTTGGTGGTAGGACTCCATTTTCTGCCTTGGAGTCTGTCTGGACAGGTACCACCCTCTTTTATATTTCTGCCGCCAAATAGCAATGCTTGCACTGTTGTGTTCTGGTGTGAAAGGTGTAGAGAGAAAGTTTAATTACAGACAGTGAGGCATTCCATCTTAAATCCTCAGACGAGACAACGCATCTGTAGCCTTCTATGTTTGAAGTTGGTTGCCGGTATCAATGATGACGATATGCAATAGCAAAATACCGTCAGGTGGACTTTATGTTCGTTTGTCATTTTAGCTTAAAAAAATTGTGCGTGTCAACTCCGACGCGTGGATGGAGTTTACTTCTGAAAAAACTATTACTCTTAGAATATGCTTGATCAAGTCACTTTTTTAAATTAAGTTATATAAAAGACTATCGATGGTATAAATGAAAATTCGACTCCGTGTTGTGGCGGGTAAGAATACTCACTACCCCATATCTTCCCGTGGGTGTCGTAAAAGGCGACGGAGGGAACCAGAGACAGAAGATGAGCAGCAGCATCTTTCTGATAACAGCAAAACAACAATAAAAAACTGCGGTTGCCTACCCGCTCGCCAAGTGTGGCAACTATGGCAATATACCCCCCATGAAAGTAACGAAAAAACGGCCCCCAGTCCCCGGCGGTCCCGCTATTCCTGGCTACGGTGGCGACCATGGTAACGGCGGGGCAGGGGATGCTAAGAATCTCCGGTGGAGGTTCGGTTGCCACCTACGACGACTTAACCTGGCAACTTATAACGCACGCACCCTGAGGACTGACGAGAAGATCGTGGAGCTGGAAGAAGAGATAGACAAGTTGCGCTGGCATATTATAGGATTATCCGAAGTCCGAAGAGAGAGGGAGGACACGGTAATCCTCGAATCCGGCAACTTGCTCTATCACCGGGAGGGCGACCATCTGTCCCAAGGAGGTGTCGGATTTATCGTCCACAAGTCTCTCGTTAACAACGTTGTAAAGATCGGTAGTGTGTCGACGAGGGTTGCGTACCTTATACTCAGAATCACCAAACGGTATTCGCTGAAGGTCATACAGGTTTACGCACCAACCTCGGCACACCCCGATGAGGAGGTGGAGGAAATGTATGAGGATATCTCTATAGCCATACATTCCTCCAAAACCCACTATACGGTGTTAATGGTAGACTTCAACGCAAAACTAGGCACAAGAGAGAACGGTGAGCTGAAAGTAGGGAATTTCGGAATCGGGCAACGGAACCCAAGGGGCCAGCAGCTAGCCGACTTCATAGAGAAAGAGGGACTCTTTATGATGAATTCTTTCTTCCAGAAGCAGCCCCACAGGAAGTGGACCTGGTCAAACCCCGACGGTTGGACAAAAAATGAAATTCATTATGACGACCAGACAACAACTGTTCAGTGATGTCTCAGTGATCGCGAGGGTGAATACCGGCAGCGATCACCGAATGGTGAGAGGCACACTGAAACTAAACGTTAAGTTGGAGAGGTCACGTCTAATGAAGTCAACGCTGAAGTGCTTGTACAGTAGGGCTACGATGGCTATCCGAGTACAGAATCAGAGTACGAAAGCTATCCAATTGCAGAGAGGTGTAAGACAGGGTAACGTTATATCCCCGAAACTCTTCACCGCTGCATTGGAAGACGTTTCCAAGCTTCTGGACTGGAAAGGATACGGTATCAACATCAATGGCGAGTACATCACTCATCTTCGATTCGCCGACGATATAGTCCTTATGGCAGAATCGCTGGAGGACCTAAGCACTATGCTCAATGACCTCAAGAGTGTTTACCAACGGATAGGCCTTAAAATGAACATGGACAAAACAAAAATCATGTTTAATGTCCATGTCACACCTATGCCGGTAGTTGTTGGGAGCACTAAGCTCGTAGTTGTTGACAAGTATGTTTACCTGGGATAAATAGTCCGACTAGGTAAGTCCAACTTCGACCGAGAGGTCAATCGACAGATTTAACTCGGTTGGGCAGCGTTCGTGAAATTACGGCACATCTTCTCGTCAGGTATACCTCAAAACTTGAAAACAAGACTGTACAATCAGTGCGTGTTGCCAGTGATGACCTATGGTGCTGAGACGTGGTCCTTCACTGCTGGCCGGATGAGGAATCTCAAGGTCGCTCAGCGAACTAAGGAGAGGGCTATGCTCGGAGTTTCTCTGCGTGATAAACTTAGAAATGAGGATATCCGCAGTAGAACCAGAGTGACCGACATAGCCCAACGTATTAGTAAGCTGAAGTGGCAATGGGCCGGCCATATAGCTCGAAGAACCGACAGCCGATGGGAAGAAAAGGTTCTCGAGTGGCGGCCTCGTACCGGTGGACGAAGTGTTGGGCGTCCCCCCACTAGATGGAGTGACGACCTGGTAAGATATATAGGAAGTCGATGGATGCAGGTGGCTCAGGACCGTGCTTTGTGGCATTCCTTGGGGTAGGCCTATGTTCAGAAGTGGACTTGTGAAGGGCTGTAATGATGAATGATGAATGAAAATTCTAGTTTGGGGTTCAACTTTTTTACAAGGAATAAAAAATATAATAAATCGCTAATTTAGAACCGGGGCGGCATCAGAGACGGCTGATCTGAGTAAACGGCGCACACATCTAAGAGATAACTACATATTTGTACCATTTGTCCGTGGAGCCCAAGTGCAGTGAATTTCCTAAAGGATCTGAATTCGTGACTTGTCGTCGCCGTTGTTGACAAGAGAGTTAGGGTTTTCTCGATGTTAGGGTTAGTTTAGCCATTCAACGAGGAATCGTAGTCAGTGTTCTTGGCCCTATACCGTATGGTATAGAGTAGGACCGTATGATAATTTAAGTTTTTTAAAATTATTATTATAAATATTGTATATATTTATGTAAATATTTATATGGCTAACAGCCGTGTTAGCTCAGGGCGAAGCGATCGCCGTAAATTTCATAGTATGCAAGCAAATGATTTACCAAGTGCTCGGCGGTGAAAGAAAAGATCATGGGAAAAGATTATATAATATACTTTTTTTATATTATTAAAAATATATTTCGAAGACTTGTAAAGTTCGCCAACAAGCAAACGAGTAACGCAACAAGCATTTTCCTTCCCTATCAGAAATTACGGCACAGCCCACCAATGAGACATATATAAGCTGTAACTTTACTTTTTACTTAATCTAACAAGGCAACTATGCAATAATAAGGTAGGTACTTTTTGATATCTTGATGTTTTTCCGACAATACAATATATCAATCTGATTTGTAGTCTAGACATTATAATGCAACATTATTATCCATATTTCACAATTTGTTTATCGATGAATAGGATGTCAATAAATCGACGTCATGTCCATGTTCTGTCAAATATCGATTGTTATCAAAGATTAAGTTCTAATTTTAGGACAATGTTTTTGTGAAATTTTTATAATCAAATTTTTCAGATAACAAACATAAAATTTTGGGACTAAAATGTCAATATGAGTAAATTGTCACAGACTCTATGATATAATCTTGCATATTTTGTGATATTAATATATTAAAAACACAATATGATTATTTTTTTATTATTTATTATTTATTGATATGATGTGACGACTACGACTACCGGCTGAACTGTAGGAGTTCACAGGCAGGGCTAAAGATCTATTTATATATACCCGTGTAGTGTCAGGGACATGACAGGGCTCAGGACTTGGTTCCGTCAGAAGCTCAATATTTATTGCTCGGTACCTACATATTACATACAATGAATGAAACTTGTTGTTACGGATTTTGTCGCGTTTAATTAAGTAATTTTATATTCCCAACGTTTTTAATACTAAATAGCACCGCCGGTCACGGGGAAAAATATAAGAAATCATTCATACAAGTTAGTGTCTGCCAACATACGAGCATGTAAATTCCTGACACTGCATGGAGGTGTGTAGCAACCTACACACATCCAGTCACATGTAGGTAGTTTATAAGTGGGCATCTGAAAGGACAGTCATCTCTGATATTTGTGAGACAGAAACGCTTCTTCACATACCTCCCTTAGAACAAAAGCATTTATTGAGGAATCTGGTGTTGAAACTCTAAGTCACCCACCCTACAGCCCTGACTTAGCTCCTTGTGATTTCTTTTTGTTCCCAAGAGTCAAAGAAAAAATAAAAGGGCAAGTTTTTTTCAAGCGCCGAAGAAGCCGTTGCTGCCTACGAAGAAGCGATTTCCGACCTGTCAGATCAAGACTGGCAAATGTGTTTTTAGAGTTGGTTTAGGCGAATGGAACTTTGTAAAGAGCATGATGGAATTTTTTTTGAAAAGATTTAAAATAAATATTAATAGTATCTAGAATACTTTTTGTATATCTCAAAACTTATTGAGCGACCTACGTACCTAAAGATCAACTTGATGCTCCAGTATCTGGTTAATAATTTTAGCTGAGATTATAGCCATTATACCTTCCCATTATATCCATGTCGTATAGTAAGATCTGCTCTTCGTGGCTATAATAGATACTTTGGAAATACTTTTCCAAAGTAACTAGAACAAAAAGTAAAAGACAATTGCCACGCTTGACCTGCTGCACATACATATGCAAGGAGTGTAACAAAAGAGCACACAGTCAAACTGATGGTAAATGAATACTGTGGCGCATAGACATCTACTCCTACATTATCCTCAATTAAGAAATAAAATGCGGTTGCGTTATCAACCCTACAGATTGAGATGGAATGCCTCGTTACCAGTAAAAAGGGTCTCCGGTCTCGCTTCTATTTTTGTTTTCTATTTTGCGCCTTCTAGCTATACCATAAATTTCTGTATTCTGTAACTGTGAGCAATATATATGGATTCATTAAAATACAATATATATTATGGCTCTTGACTTAATTTACATCTACATTACACGCTAAAAATATACTTTAATATGATATCATATCAAGCAACTGTAGCTTGATGGTAGAAGAAGTGGGCTGCCAACTTGAAAAGTCGTGGATTCAAATTCGCCATTCGACTACTATCGTAAACCTCAAAAAGAGAATTTGAAAGAAAGCATTTGAAGCTTACTTGGAGTTGATAGCGGGAGTATTAATAATGTTACTAGTAATCTTTTAATAAAATATATTTTCAGCGAACCCTCCGTGCGAGGCACCCTCTGCACTGTAACCCAACTATTTAACTCAATCGGAGTGTTCGCCATGTATTTTCTGGGCACAGTGGTGAACTGGCGGAACGCGGCACTGATCAGTCTTATAGTACCTATCAGCTCCATGGCGTTTGCGTTTTTGGTAATTATTTCATGGTTTTTTATTGCTAATGTTACAGTAAAAAAAACAACCGCCAACCGTTTCATCGATCAGCTTAACCACCTGATAAATCGTAATTCTAAAAAAAAGAGAGGTAACCCCTGAGAAAATTAGAATTAATTCAATCCACGTATGAATAATCTTTACAGGTCCCAGAAACCCCAGTGTGGTTGCTCTTTAGAGGTCGAGAAAACGAAGCCCTGAAGTCTCTGTGTTACTTACGTGGATGGACAACACCAGAAAACGTGAGAGAGGAGTTTAACAGCCTGGTCAATTATAGCAAGAAGCTGCAGAAATGCGCAATTTGCTATAAATTTGATGACGAAGACACAGGGAAAGATTGTAAACATTTTAAGATGAATGCTTTTAAGAGGTAATGCTCATAAATTTGAAAAACTCGATTAGAACTAGTCTAACCAAGAATTCTTGAAACTCATTTAGGGTGCTAATTAAAAGTATCATACTGAACAAGAAAGAAGTTCGCCCCTAAGTTACGCAGTACAACTCATACAAATTTCATGTCGATACGTGTAGTAATTTCCGTCTAAAATACTGTTGTCTAGGCATAGGCATTATTTTCTATTCGATCCTTATTAAAAACCGTATTTCAGCGGCCAATTATTTAATACGCATACGCAGTTTTTACTGAATGCCTCTGTTACCACTAAAATTTCTTCGCATTTACTAGAATTTACTGATCAGATTAAACTAGTTTGTAGATTGAGGTGCGGCTGAACCATGACAGAGCAAACAAAGCTGTGTGGCCAAATGGCCACCACAACCGCACCTCGGCCTACAGTCGATTTTATTATTTTATAGGTGCTTTCGTATTTTTAAGTTAAAACAAGTCACTGATATTCAATATAATATTTAAAAGTGGTAGAGCCATGCTGCAGCTATATTAATTGTATAGTTGTAGCAATAATGGGTCGGCCCGACCGGGGAAGGACCACGCTCTCACAGAGTACCAGCGTAAAATAGCAGCTTGACACTGCTGTGTGTCGTATGTTGAGTGTAGATAACCGGAGAACCTTTGGACTGACAACTCATCTGCATTTTGATTTGTAATAGAGGATAGGTGTAGATGTCTATGGGCCGCGGCAACCACTTACCATCAGGTGGACTGTGTGTTCGCTTGTGACATGGCTTATCTTATAAAAAAAAATATTCTAACTATTATTCGGGGATTGGGATTTTCACTGTAATATGCCATGGAAATGTTGTGGATCGCAGCTCCACGCATGTCAATATTAACAACTAAATTCGACAAGTGGCCTAGGTCATTTTTATCACGTTACGTTCAACCAGGCGTACATTGCCTAGGCTATTTGTTAAACGACCTGGCCGTGAGTGTGGCCATTAGATAAACTTTGCCCGTTATATTAATGTCCTAGGCTTTTAATTAATGAGCGGATTTTACCAAGTGCGCCGCCGATATACACAAAAAGAAACATAATTTGGAATGCGACCATTTGAAAATAGCACTCACAAGACGTGTGTGTGTTTTGTGTGTGTGTGTGTGTGTGTGTGTGTGTGTGTGTGTGTTGTGTGTGTTTGCGTATGTGCACTTGTGTTCTATTTTCAAACACACTTTGAAAAGGGAGAACGTTCTATATTCGACTGTATGTTCTTTATTTTTATGTAATGGTACGCGATATGTTCACCGATTTTCAAGATTCTATTTTTAGAATTAAATTTGTACAAAAATTATACTAAACATAAAAATTATATTTTAAATGTATGATGTATGTATAAATAAATAAAAATTAGCTTTTCAAAACTTTAAAATTTTATAGTGTACTCGAATAAATGGCATGTTCTTTACTTCTAGATCAATCTACAAATTTCGATACATAATGTTAAGAAAAGAAACGACAAGACCTTTAATGTTGGTCATGATGTACTTCTTGTTCTTCGTCATGAGCGGTCTCACACCCATACGACCGAACATGGTCAACATTTGCGGCGCGCTGGGAATGTCACAGGATGGCAAAGATGTTGTAGTAAGTATTTTTTAAGTACTTGCAGGATTTTAATATAAAAATCCATCACTACATTTCATTCCGTGGGTGTCGTAAGAGGAGACTATAGTAAATAGCGAAAAATATTATGGATTCCGATAAATAGCGGTATAATCATCTCATATACATAAAATACCCATATCGACAACGGGCCGTAACATTAAAACGTGCGAGATCTGGTACTGCAATCAACTACTACTGTTTTCTACTAATACAATACAATACAATTCATTTATTTCAGGCATCAATGGCGTCTATAGCTATATATACCCTAACCTAAAGATATATATATATATATATAAAACATAAACATAACACTATTTAGGGAAAGTTCTTCTTTGGAACATCCCTGTATAGGCAAAACACTACCCCAGAATGTTATTTTTTTGTATTTTGCAGAAACTTCCAGTACGTAGGATTTGAAGTTCGTGGACCTATTAGATTTCAGACGCTTCAGATGTAAATAGATCGAATCCTCTATGCGGCATCGGCTTCGTTCTTCCACGAAGCGCAGCACGTCTTCTACCGACGTACTTTTGCCCAAACGGGAGATTTAGAATTGTATGGTAGGCTCCACAACACGCAGAGTTGGTACTTGCGTTTATTTTGGCGGCCCTACGCTCGTTACAGACGGACCTCGACAGATGTCTCTTCTCAACATACTAAATGCTTCTAATATACAACACAAACACTCATGCCTGTCACCCAGAGGGGTAATAAAATTGACACATTAATTACAGAACACTAATTACAACTTAAAACCACAATTGTACTACTGATCACTTTAGTTCGCAGTTATATCGCTTCGAAGTATTCGTTTATATCGCCAATTCAATACTGACTCGATCGTGGTCTATACCGGCCTTATATAAGGCCTCAGATAGTTTCCAGAACCTTCTACTGTAGAAACATCTAGAATGTTCGAGTACATATCACTCCCGAAATTTCTAGAAGGATCTTGACTCTCCTAGTTCTGCTACTCGATACTAGAGGGCGCTAGTGGTAACTAGTACTAGTAGTAGCTAATTGTAACAATATTAAATATTGACAAAATCTGAGCAAGATTACCTATGATCTAATGTAGGTGAGTGCGTGCGTACGCGCGCGTGTGTGTGTGTGTGTGTGTGTGTGTGTGTGTGTGTGTGTTTGTGTGTGTGTGTGTGTTTGTTTGTTTGTTTGTTTGTTTGTGAGTGCGCACGCGCGTTTGTGTGTGTACGTGTGCGTGTGCGCGCGCGCGTGTTAGTGTGTGTATCTGAGCGTGTACGTGCGTGCGTGCGTCTTGGCTTTGGTAGTCTCCCATTTTTACCCTCTGGGTAAGTCCCTGCAAATAGTCCCTTATTAATTCCAGTGGTTTTTCTCGAGTTAGAGTGGGAAGGGAGACGGTGTCAAATGCCTTTTTTAAATGAATAAAAACTGTAGATACTACATTTTTTTCGTGATTAGAGAAGTAAGTGCTAAAACTTCAGTAGAATTTTTTTGTCCAAATCCAAATTGATATTTGATAATTTGTTATATTTAGTTAAATACGAGTACTTAATGAGTCGAATGTTTAGTTTGTTTTCTAAAATTTTTGAAATAGATGTAAGGCCTGAGTTAGGCCTATATTTGTTGACATCGTCTCTTTTATCGCTTTTATAAACCGGAATAATTAAAGATTTTTAAGTGATACCGGGAAAAATCCTGTACGAAAACAAAGATTAGCCAAGTGACTAATTACAGGGGCGATGAGGAACTTAGTAGGAATTTTGTCTCAATCAGCAGCACTATTAGTTTTGAGACTATCAATAAAAATATAAAACTTCCTGTAGATCAGTGTCAAAAAGAACGAATGATGTCAAATGAGAACTTGTATTTTGGGGTCGACAGGTCTGTGTGTTAGTATAGGAGTTTCAGTTATATTGATGTTATATGGGTTTTTACTTTCTTTGTTTCTTCTAGTATACGTAATGAATATGTTTCATTTCAGCTTATGGTAGGTGTCATCACCTTTCTCACAAGCATCATAGTGGTTGTTATGATAAAGATCGTTGGCAAACGCAAGCTTGCCATATCGGCAATGCTCGGAACAGCCTTCTTTTGTGCAAGTCTTAGCATCTATGCTAAAAATAATTTGGATGACTCAGTGTATTCATACGACACTGACACGTTCCCAGAGGAAAAAAGTCATGTGCCATTGGTACTGTTCTATTTAATGGCTATGTGTACTGGATTGGGAATTCCTTGGGTGCTACTGGGAGAAGTGTTTCCATTTCGGTAAGTTATTTTAACCAAAAAGAAAAAAAAAATACATTCGGATTGAAGTCGGTAAAATAATTATAATTTCCACATTACCATTACCATTGCAACGTATCAAAAGTCCTATGCTGAAAATAGACCTCCCCCGTGGAAGGCTTCATAGGGGGATTATTTACCATAGCTGTCACGCTTGGGCGCTTGGACCGCAGTTTTCTATATAAATTCAGTTGTTATCAGCAAGATGCTGCCACCATCTACATTAATTTCCAAATATATGACGAACGTACCGCTAATCCTCACAGGTATCAGTCTTACAACAAGATGGAACGGCGCACGGCCTGAGTATGCCTCAGTATGTAATAATAATGGTTCTCCATACCTTTAAAAGACACATTTTAATCGCCTTTTACAATATCCACAGTATTACAAAGGTTACCGCTACAAACAGTCCACCGGCATGGCACTCTAAGAATGAGCGAAAGTAGTGGGGATAGACGCGCATACATACATATGAAGTTACTTAGCCTGATTTAGAAACATTAATACGGTTTTCTTCATCTTTTGGAATGCGTACAGCAAAGGAGTAGAATAATTTGTCGGCATCTGTCTTTCTGTCCGAATACAAATTGGGCGTCTTCAAGACAAGAGTGAATAGGCTTTTGATACGCTTAGTCAGTGCGATTTACCATCTAGGGCTTCATCACCACTTACCACCAGTTGGGATTGTGGTCAAGCACTCGCTTATAATAAGTAAAAATAATTATGTGTTTTAGGAGTCGTGCTTCAGCTCAAGGTGTAGCCGCTGCTAGCAACTAATATTTAGTTTCTTAGGTACAAAAACGTTCATTGACCTTGAAGTCAATTTGAAGTTATGGGGTGCCTTTGCAACTTACTCAGGATTTGGTTTCCTTGGGACAGTATACTTGTACTTTTATTTACCGGAAACAGAAGGAAAATCCCTACAAGAAATAGAAGACTTCTACAACACCGACAAGTTGAGAATATTTGCTGATGATCCAGTTATCAACTTATTTAAAAGATTTAAAAGAAAAAAGTATTATATTTGAGAGATCAACAATAAATGAAGAGGTTTTATTAAATTCATGGTTTTATTTTAGATTTTTTTGGAAATGGAGGCCTCTTGTGAGGCGGAGCCAATAGATAAAGCCAAAAAACTTTGAGCTTTATAGCATATATAATTATTTAGTCAGGATGTTCTCCAGATGAATGATATTTTTTCAACTAAACACAATTATCTCAAATTCAATTCACATTTATCTACGTCTAAATGGAATGATAACCTGATGTAACATAAGAGAGTCGAATGCTGATAACTTAGGACCTTACTTTGTAATAATATTGGTGGGCCTATGTTCAACAGTGGATTTAGAATAGACTATAATGATGATGATGATGAGAAATTGTCAAATATTATGCAAAGAATATGTTAAAATTAAAATCACTCGAAATAAATATGGCATGGATTAACCGTTATTTTGCTATAAACGTCCATTTAAATAAAAAAGCTAATGCTCTGCTTTTTATCAACAACAAAACAGAAAATCACAATAACCAGTTTTTAATATTTATTGTTTCTGACCTTAACTTAACGAGTGAACCATCAAATAACATCGTCTATAACGTTGGATCTTCAATTTTGCCCATAAAGAGTGGAACATTGAGCTGATTATCCCACAGCACAATTAAAAATGGTCTATTTACATGGAAAGTTATAGCAGAATCATCATTAGATAATGCAACAACGGAGAACGCAGTAGCCGCCGCTGCTGACCCTCCTTGCTCGTCAATGGACAGTACAGCGTTGTGAACTGCCGTCGAAATACGCGGCGTTATTCCTTGATACGTTCCAATACCAGTTAAGTTCGCTTCATTACTGAATATGCGCCAAATCCCAAGCTGTAATAGATCAAATTTTAAGACAGTTGAAACAGCAGAAAATTTTAGAAAATATTTTTAATACTTTTGGTTTTGAAGTGGTTTTTGAGTTTACCGTTGATTGATTTATGATATAGTAATAGATTACGAACAGTTTGTATAATAATATTTACCTATGTTTAGTCTAAGATTAATAAGGTGGCAGACATTTTACGTCAATTCTAATACTTGTATGTTTTAAGAGCTGCCATAATTAGAATTTTCTCGATTAAATGTTCGGGAATGTCTATAAATGATGTTTAGTTTTTGTAATCTAATACACATATTATGAGTGAGAAATTGTGAATTCTGTGAGTTCAAACATTTTACTTTGAGATCATTAAGTTTTTACTCATTTAATTACATAAATAGTCTGCACATGTCCAGTACTTTTATTAATTATTCTCCTGACTGGCAGAAAAGGCCACCAGACATTAGGTTCACCTATATAAATAAGACGAAGTTAATTACAATAAAGATAAAAATAACGAATTGTTGCTTTAATACACTTTCGGCTTTCATACGCAAATTGCAACCTTTGTAAAAAGTACTTACAAAGTTCAGTAGATCAAATATATTGCGTTCAGATTTAACTGTGAATCGAGGAATTTCCAATTGGACTTCCTTTGCTGTGAATTTCTGGTAAGCGTACAACTTCTGTTCAGTTAACGATGATAGGACGTCGAGAGCATTAATCCCTTCAAATGGAAGGATAATCATCATGGAATACTGCGCTTTCTGTAAAGTTAAAAACATTATTGCTTTAGACCGTGAGCCATCAGCAAGCCAAATTGAACCACAATGGAATTTTTATAAAGCTGATTTTTACTTATTTTATTCTTTATTAGCTTCCGCTGATTGGAGTTTCATTACCGAGACACAGGAACCAGAGGAAGCTTTGGAGTCTTTTTATAGTGTTTTTTACGGTGTTTTAGATAATTGTGTACCTAAAAAGCGGAAAATGAAAGTAGATCAAAGACATTACCCCGAGTGGTATACTAGTGATTTAATTAGGAATATAAAATTAAAGGCTAAGCTTCACAAGCGATATAAATCGACCGGATCTCGTGCTGATTACGAAGCTTTTTCTACTTGCAGGGCGCGAATTAAGAAAAGTATTGATAGCGCATACCTAAACTATCAGAATCGTGTGCAAAGTAACTTGGCAAAGGATCCTAAGTCTTTTTGGGATCATATTAGGGCAAAAAAAGGGGCAGTTAAACGTAGACAAATATTGAAAGATGGAGTAGCATTGTCAGATCAAGAAAGTACGACTGAATTTGCCAAATACTTCTACTCAGTATACAACAGCGAGCCAGCACGTCTGGACGTAGGAGAGGCGGTGGCGGCTGGCGGCGCGAGCAGCGCGCGCGTGCACGTGCCGCAGCTACAGCTCGGCGAGGTGCGCGCGGCGCTTGCCTGGCTCAAACCAAAGCGCTCGGCGGGCCCGGACGGTATACCGGCGTTTGTGATGAGAGACTGCCGCTCAGTGCTAGCGGAACCGTTGTTACACATTTTCAACTTATGTCTAAAGAATTCATATTTTCCAAAAAGTTGGAAAATTACGCGTGTTATTCCGATACCTAAGGGGGGTAACAAATCTACGATTGAATCCTTCAGACCAGTGGCGATTCTCTCAACACCTGCGGAGGTGTTTGAGGGAGCCATCCAGCGAAGTGTACGGGAACAAGTTGCACCGCAGTTATCGGATGCCCAACACGGCTTCCGGACAGAGAGGAGCACAACCAGTAACCTCTTAAATGCCATGACGTATTTAGTTCCTCATGTCGATGCAGGGTTGCAGGTAGATGCTGCCTACTTTGATTTCAGAAAGGCGTTCGACTTGGTAGATAACGATATCCTATTGTCAAAGATGGCGAAAATTGGCTGCACACCTAAACTGCTTCATTTTTTTGCGAGTTACATGAAAGATAGAAAACAGTATGTGGAGTACGGTGGGTACCGGTCGGAGCCTTACTTTACTAGATCTGGTGTGAGCCAAGGCAGTAATTTAGGGCCGTTAGAGTTCAACATAATGATTAATGATTTACCAGAAGTAGTAAGAGAGGCTAAATGTCTATTATTTGCAGACGACCTAAAATTGCTTTTAGCCATCAAGAGTGAGGATGATTGTAGCCACCTTCAGCACGATATCGACCAAGTAGTAGAATGGAGTCACAAAAATAAGCTGCAGTTTAATATTTCAAAATGCTCTATTCTATCATTTAGTCGATCAAGGGCACCACTCCATTACAACTATAAGGTGGATGGCGAGCTAATGAAGAGGGAGGAATCAGTCCGGGATCTTGGGGTACAGATGGATGTCAAATTGACATTCCGGGAGCACATCTTGAACATATGTAAGAAATCTTATAAACGACTAGGATTTATCCTTCGCAGAGCAGTAAATTTTACCAACATAAAAGCCATCTCAGTGCTGTATGATGCTCTAGTAAGGAGTCAACTGGAGTGTAACTCGGCAATATGGGCTCCACATGAAAATAAATACAGTCTTATGCTAGAACGCATTCAGAATAAATTCACGCGATTTGTATATCATAAGCTTTATGGGGTTTATCCCTTCTATCCCTTGATGTACCCAACCTTGTTTGTTTTGGGCATGGTTGGATACAACAAGTTGGAAACTAGGAGGGATCTAGCGCTGGTAACCTACATTTTAAAGGTGTTCCGTGGTTACATTAGCAACCCGGGTGTGCTGCAGTGGATAGGCTTACGCGTGCCTGATAGATATGTACAGCGGCGACGGCGCCCGAGCTTGTTCGCGGTGCCGCGCGGCAGGACTAAACTGGTACGCAACACCCCCCTCACGCGATCGATACACATACTAAATTTGGTTGCTGAGAAGTTGGACTTATTTTCATGTTCAAGAAGTGAGTTTGCAAAAGTGACATTATTCATAATATGTTATTCTCAAATTGAATTATACAATTGATTGTAATGTGTTGTTATTTAAATTAATTATTGTGTGTTGTAATTACTAATATTATTATCTTTTACCATTTAAATTATTACTTTATGCTTTATGATGTATTCCAGTAACATATTTTAAGTGTATTATTATTATTATTATTTTGAATTGAGATGCTACATTTATCGATTTAGGTTTTTCCCTGTAATGGTAGATGTTAGTAGGAAATATAAATAAATAAATAAATAAATAAATAAATAAATAAATAAATAAATAAATAAATAAATAAATTATTACTAGATTATTGTATTTGATATATCAAAACGGCCTATCGATTAGTTCGAAATAAAAGTAACTATTTTAAATCTTTTCCTTTTTGGTCTGCTGTTACTGCATTTCTGGATAAAATAAACCCTTATTAGCAGGGTACGAGCCAGTCACAACATCATTCTGAGGACCGTAGCGGACAGGTTTACATCGCCGCTGTGGAAATGTCTTGTGCAGAGACTGATCATTGGGCCCTATCCACACCCATGATGATCTGTCTCGGCACAGGGTATTACTTATTTCCCTCGATTTAAGCAAACCATTGTTTTACTAATCCTTGTTATTATTGGAACGAAGTTCCTTATCGGGCGATACGGGCTTGTCGGATGGGTGCTAGGCGAGAAAAACTGTAAGATTTTTTCGTCACTACCCCTTGTGTCATAGTGTAGACGGCCTTGGCGGTGAAATAAGGAAGTGAGATGGAATAATATCCGTCTCCCTCGCACTTTTCTTATCTTGCCATGAAAGAAATATTATTTTATTTCAAATGACGCTTCATTTTAATAGACGCTAGTAATTCATTTATTTGTATTTGTTAATCAATAATATAATACCTATGTTTATCAATAATAATAGCATCGCAACAATAATAATAACAATCGCAAGGAACTTCGTTCCAACCGAGTGTTACATGACACTCACGCATTTTTATTTTTGTATTACTAACCCACATATGGATTTTTAAATTATCTGAAGTAAAGAATTTTATATTTATATTATATTTATAATACCTGATTTTGACAGAACACCATGATCAGCAATCGCCTTTACGATCACTACACCAATGAAGCGGTTAAAATAATATATATCTTTATTATATAAGAAACTAAGATATATAAACAAAAAAATTTTAACAAAATATTATTTTCTCTAAACAGATTTAATTAAATTTGCGACTCATATCACTCTTCGGCATTGAACTTTATAAGAAATTCAATGATACTAAAGAACCGTCATACATGCTTAATGTTATACATGTAAATGATTAACGTTACAGCCCATTAAAAGTACATTGCTGAACTTGAGCCATTGCCTCATGGGGGGGATATTTGTCATAGTTGCCACACTTGGCAAGCGGGTTGGCAACCGCAATTTTTTATTTTTAGTTGTTATTAGAAAGACGCTGCTGCCCATCTCCTAGTTCGTTTTCCTATATCGCCCTATTACGGCACCTACAGGATAATATTGGGTAGTGGATATTCTTAAATCGCCACTACACGGTGAATGACAGGAAGAAGCTAAATGCCTAAGTATCATAAACTACCGTTTAGCGACTATCCTGAACCATCGTTAAGCGTATGCACTTAAGCTTAATATTAGTGTACATAGGATTTATACAGAACGCTAAAAATTATTTTAAAGAGAAAAAAAACTTACTTCAAACGGTATTAACAGTACTTGACTATGAATATCAGAATCGATATCTGTTCGGAACATTCGTCGCGCGTGCATAAATGGCACAACTTTTTTTGAACCATTACTGAGATTGAACGTTTTCGGTTTGGTCAATTCCGTTCGAAATTTTGTTTCCCAAATTCCTTTAAAGTAAATAGCATTTACCAAGACTGCTAGAGTGTCCAGTTGAAGTGCATCTGGAAACAGAAAGAAATTAACAATTACTCTATCATAGGCCTAATGCACAGATTTTTTTATAACAAGAGAATTAAATATACAAGACAAGTGCAACAACTAAACGTGGTAAAGCCGTGCTGTAGCTATATTCGTGCTACAACCATGTAACACAAATGGGTCGGCTCGAACGAGGTAGGAAACGCTCTCACACAATACCAGCGTAAAATTGCAGCCTAATGCTGCTGTGTTTCGTAAGGTGTGTGTAGAAAACCCGATAGCCTTCTTACTGGAAACGAGCCATTTCATCTAAGTCCTCAGGGGTAACATTGCATCTGCATTTATATTCTTAATCGAGGACAACTGAAGATGTCTATGAGCCACAGCATCCACTTACCATCAGGTCACAGTCCACCAGCTCATTTGTCACCCTTATTAAAAAGGAAGCTTCATCAAACTATTAACTATAAAGCTTACTTCTATTATTCAAGAATGGTGTAATCTCAGGCCTGAAACTGGCACATAACAGACATAGTTTACACCCTCTTTTGTGTTGCGTATCTCGTTGATTTTGAGTTAACATCGTAACAAAAATATTTTATGTATCCTTTTTCCAACATCAAGAAACTATCGTCTACACTGGCAAACATAAATATTAATAATTATATTTCTTATTCCACTTTTTACTTAGAATTACACTTTTGCCCGTTAAATTTTAAAACTAAAGTACCTTACTATTATATATAGTATTGCATTTTTGTTATTAATATATTTAAAATAACCACAAATTTTCCATGAGTAGAGGAATTAATTTAAATAATAACTTTCAAATTGAATTTTCTCGTAAGGATTAATTTGTAACGGAGGAATCTGTCTAAACCAAGATTACTAACACAGCCTTCCTTTACGTTTGTAAACTGAAATTGCAATGGGCTGGTCACGTCTGTCGCAGAGCTGACAACCGTCGGAGCAGATATGAGACAGAATGGGGACCACGCTAAATACAGGAAGCGACGATCTGCACAAGCATAACTCGTTGCATAACGTTTACCTGGTAGAGCCATGCTGAAGCTATATTAGTAGTATAGTTGTGGCACGAATGGGTCGGCTCGACCGGGGAAGGACCACGATCTCACAGAAAACCAGTGTAAAATAACAGCTTAACGCTGCTGTGTTTCGTATGGTGAGTGTAGAGAACCGGAGACCCTTTTTACTGGCAAAGAGGCATTCCATCTTAGTCCTCACGGGTGACAACGCATCTGCATCTTGAGTCTTTATTGAGGATAGATGTAGATGTCTATGGGTCACAGTAACCACTTATCATGAGGTGGGCTGTGTGCTCGTTTGTCACCCTACCCTATATAAAAAAAACTTGATTAGAATCAAAGAAATTACCTGGTGCCAACAGATTCAAGATTTTGTTGTTTGTTTTAGCTGCAACCCAATTATTGATCATTTGTGACGCTTCCAATGGATTGTTGAAATTTATATTAGTTACGTCACTTTCAAAATTATGAATTGCGATTGATTTAAATCTAGAATCTACACTGAATGTATCCGCTAAAACCACGTTGCTTGCAATCTTCCAAATATTGTGAGACTTTCGTTTCTGTAAAGAATAAAATGTCTTTTTCATTACTTCACCATTATCATTACAGCTTATCAAAAGTCCACTGCTAAACATAGGGCTGCCCATAGATTGTCTCATAGGGTGGATATTTGCCATAGCTGCCACGCTTGGCGGGCGAGTGTCAACTGCAGTTTCTTGTTGGTTTTAGGAACATGCTGCTACCAATCTCCTGGTTCGTTTCTCTCTGTCGCCTCTTACGACACGGTACGTTATGAGGTAGTGGATATTTTAACACTGTCCCTACTTATTTGCACTATATATTTTTCAAACTTAATTCTTTAACGGTAATTTCAATATAAAGCTGGAAAAAATAACAAAATATCAGGTTGGCTACAGAAACGCTTTATTTGTACGTGGTAGAGCCATGCTGCTGCTATATTATGATAACAGCACAAATAGGTCAGCTCGACCGAGGAAGGATACCCTCTCACAGAATATCCAGCTTATTGATGCTGTATTTTGTATGGCGAGTGTAAAGAACCGAAAATTCTTTTTACTGGAAACGAAGCATTCTATTTTGGTGCTCAGAGGTGACAATGTATCTGCATTTTAAATCTTAATCGAGAATAGGTGTAGATAGATATCTATAGGCCACATCATCCACTTGTCATCAGGTCAATTTTGTGCTCGTTTGTTACCCTTATTCTATAAAAAAACGTTAAGAGATTTTTAAGAGCATATCACGAAAAGCATTGTAGTGAACTACTCTAATTTTGCAAGTATGTCAAGTATTTCTATGATCATATCTTCAAATCAAAATTTCAAGTTTTCCAAAAAATAATGCCGTCCATTCAAAGTTTGCCTGCATGAAATAGTTTTTCCATATTTTTTTATTTTTGTTATTCATTCATTTTAGATAGACTTAAGATATATGTGATATACTACATTTCTCAATTCTCAATTTTTATTTTTACTGAGCTATGTATCTTCCTTAAATACATTAGAATAGAATAGAATAGAATAAATTCTAATTCAATATAGATCACATGTGTAATTCTTATAGAAAGTCATTTTTTACTTTACCACTGGTTCGAAAAAAAACCTCTGTCCTGGGAAGAACCAGTAAGACACCCAGCGGGACTTTTTCTTTAAAGCAAATTTTACATTAATGGTTGTACAAACTATATAAGTACAAAATTTATTTTAGAAACAGCTTGGAAGCGACCACCTCATTAAATTGATAATCAAAATCATCAAGTCCAGTTTCACATTCTGTTCATGTTATTTTGTTATACAAGCATGCACACGTGCACTCAACTTCACATTCTGTCCACAGGATTATAATACGAAGTATTGTTAGGAATGGTGTGTCAGAATGGCGATCCAAATCCGTCGCTGCGGAAAACTGATGCCCTGGAAAGACTTATTTTCCTGGTACCATGTCCTGCGCATAACGGACTCGGGGAGGTCCGTTACGCAGGTGGAAATCGAAGTCGTGTAAGAGGCGTGCCTGTATTCCAACTCACCTTGCCTAAGAAGAAGGACGAGGGAAGGAGTTTCGTTCGCCTGATTAGGTGCCACCGAGGGGTACCTGACTCCAGAGAGATCGTAGATAAATGCAAAAGCGTACTCGTGGCCCTGTCTTTATGTGGTGAAGGTGAAAAACCATGAACCATGGAGTTTTATTCATAAAGTTGGTGCAAACCTGACTTAATCGACACTATTCCCTGCTCCCGCTAGGTGGGTATGATAGACATTTCACCATGAAAAAACAAACGTGTAAGAGCCTGTGCTTGCGCAAACACTTTTGTCACTGAAATGTTTCTCACATAATTTTCAGGTTGTCGCTATGATCAAAATTTATCACAAGAAAATCTTAATCTCAATAAATATAGTAAGTATCCCTTAAATAAAAATTAAATACCTTTACAGCATTTGTAAGATCCCTAAACAGTTCCGCTGAAGATTCTGGCATTAACTGTAACACTTTTGTGATTTCGTTTTGCGTTTCTCCAAACGCACCCTGTTGTATAAGAGCCAGAAGCATAGCGATTGAATATGGGGATGCTAAAATATTTCCTGGATCCCGACTCATACCCTGAAATGAGTAACAAATTTGACAAAATTTTAAATGATGCTACACGACATTACAAAAACAATATACTGAAATAAGTAAGGGACTACTAACAACCTTTGTTTATCATTTTAGGTCACGATCAAAAATTGCGGCGTGTTGGTTGAATCAAATTGTTCTATTTTTTTTAAATGTCAACATTCTGATTATTCAATGTAATAATCGTAAAGTAATAAAATTTATTTTTTAGAAATTCTAAATTTCTTGATTCAGTTTTAATCTGCCTGCCTGTAATTCTCCCCTATGAAACAATCTACAAGAAGATACCTATATTTAGCAGTGGACTTTTATAGGTTATAATGAATGAATTTAAATTCGAACCCAGTCTGTAACACTTTTTAAAAGTCCACTGATGAACAATGGCCTTACCATAAGAATACAGCAAATCATGGGCCTGAGCTACATATGTCCATCGACTTCCTACATGTCTTACTAGGCCTTCACTCGGTCTAGTGGGGGGCCGCCCTACACTTCGCTTTCAGATATGAGACTGCCACTCGAGGACTATTTTTCCTCACTGAATGTGGGCACTTCGAGCTTTATGGTTGAACCGTTACCACTTCAGCTTCGTAACGAACTGTAAGTCAACTTCGTTACTTCGAAAATCAATTCCAAATTTCTATTTCTATTTCTATTTCCAATAATCTATAAAACATTTTATTGACCTGGAGAATACTTAGAAAACATTTTAAAAGTAATATATTTTTAAGAAACTATATGCTAACTTATTTTTTACTTGAACAAGCTATAACCTACCTTTAACAATTTTAGGCCAAAGCTGGTTATAGCGAAAGTATTATTATCGAAATTTATATTTTGGCTCATTTTGCTATGTTCATTACCTTCGCTATAAATCTGTTGATCTGGTTGCACTGTATGGTAGTGAATCGGTTGAATTGCTTGTATTTCTGTTTGACTATATGACACTTTGTTATCAGGTACAAATCTGTTCTCAACTAAAATTTGCCCTGTACTTTTGTCATATCCCCGAGAAAACATGTTGTGTCGTGGATTAATATTATAATCTGAATTTATTTGCGGATGGAGATGGTGAGAATTTTCAATAAATGTCTGTCCCATATAGAAATCTGGTATGTTTTGCTGATACATAATTGGATTCTGTGACCTCTGAGAATTAACATTCCATATAATTAAAGACATGTATATTACCACTGTAAATAATAAAACACTTAATTTATATACATGGATTTTAAATAGCATCAGTAAAAAATAATTAATATTTATGTATATGAGAATACAAACAATGTAGATAAGCTATAATAATAACGATGATGGAGATGATGACATTGAGAAATCACATTAAATCGATGTTTATACTTACGTTTTAATGCCATTGTACTCGTAATAACACTATTTACAAATATAAATCTTACACAACAACACTACGGCGATACAGACTGCTACTACCTTCATGTACGAATGACTACAATGACTACAATCACCACAATTCTCAGCTTTATTGTAATCAAAATATATTCAAGAGAAAATGAATTTTGTTACATTGTGATAAAACTATTTTTCCTTCACAACAATAAGCTCAGTTGATAGTAGACATATCTGGTTTTGGTTTTCCCACAGCAGCCGGTTTTTTGTTTTCCTGATGTGTCACATAATATCTTAAATATATGCAGATTTATATTAATAATAAGTAAAAGGTTAGTTGTAATTACTATTAATAATATTAGCGTTTATAGTTACAACGCAATGTTACAGTCTACATAAGTTGTGCTGGGCACAGGCCTCTCATTTCTAAACAAATTTATGGAGCAATTTGTCGGCCGCGTCGCTTCAGTGCGTGTTGGCGAATTTCGCATATTTATACTTGAAACATTCTATTCCTTAGGCATGCAGGTTTGCTCACGATATTTACCTCCACTATCGAACACTTGGTTAGTCAGAACTTAAAATTTCATTTGACGATATCATTGGTGCTGATGGAGATCGAACTGCTCGCGTACTGTGAAATATACGGCGAGCGTTTAGCCCCTCATCTAACACGACTTCATAGTTATTTCCTATTAAATTTGTTGTACCATCTCACAAACTACATTACAAACTAATTAGGCGGCAAAAAAAACTTTATAACTGTATATTTTTGTTGCTTACCAGGTGGGATTGCTGTCTAGCACTATCCTCATGACATTGCTTGTGTATCCATTGTTATTTTAAAATTTGGAATAAGGCAATGGAACTCTAGGGGCCTACAGCTTTTTTTTATAGGATAAGGGTGACAAACAAGCACACAGTCCACTTGATGGTAATTAGTTGCTGTGGCCCATAAACATCTACATCTATCTTCGATTACGGATCAAAAAGCAGATGCGTTTTCACCCATGAGGACTAAGATGGAATGCCTCGTTTTCAGTAAAAAGGGTCTCCGATTCTCTACACTCACCATACGAAACACGTCAGCGTTAAGCTGCTGTTTCACGCTAGTATTCTGTGAGAGCATGGTCTTTTCCCGGTCGAGCTAGCCCATTCGTGGTACAACTGTACTACTAATAGCTGCATCATGGCTCTACCACGTTAAAGCAGACTTCCTTGAGAAGGACATAACATAAATCTTTTACTCTACAGAAAGTCTATATATTCAGTCCCGACTGTTCGAAAAAATGACTGACTTCATTATGCCGACCGGGCGACTACTTTTTCGTAATATCTTAGTGATTGCGAGGGCGACATCTGGCAACGATAAACGATGCCCCACTAGGTACCCGCCATCAGCCTCTCACTAGAAACACTGGAACTTGATGTAACGAGAGGTTTTCTTGTAGTGAAATAGGAATATCCGTGTGATGGTAACATAAGAGAATCCGTGAACCTATTTTGCATCTCGAGTATCGTGAGAGGCGACTATAAGAATCACCAGAAAGAATGCTTCCAACAAAAATACACAGTAGTGTAATTATCTTGTTTACACCAGACGTAAAATACTCACACCGATGAAATCGACATTTAGAAAACGACGACGGTAACAACGATAATGGGTTTTTACTTTAAAAAGCAATTTTTAAAATGCCCATGTGCAACAATAGAGTTTTACAAAGAAGTATATATGTATATTATAGCTCTTCGACGACCAGATCATTAAGTGATCTAAATACTTGTACAGAAACATAGAGTCAGTCTCACTCAATCCCATTTTTAATGATTTTGACTGTATTATTTTTATTTTATTTATTTATTATTTTAATGAATTCCTCCGAATCCGCATCCTTACCCTCTTTGTATTGTAGAGTGTACTGTGTTGTTGTAGTTAGTAATAGCCAAAAATAAAACCAATATCGTCGTCATCTTTATGGGAAATCTATATTAACAACAATTAACAATTACAAACCATTTAAAAGTCATCAATTTTATTAAATACAACCACATTTCTTTAATACTATTTGATATGAAATATTAATTTTACATACAGACTTAAAAATGTTTACTATATTTATACACGAGTTTAGGCGGATTAACATAAATTCTAACATTAATAAAATTTAAAAAATAATACTATGTTTTGAGATTATTTCATATTTCTGTAAAGAATTAGACAGTTTATAGACACAATTTTGTACAAAAATAAAAGGATAATATTTTACATAGGCTTTTGCAATTATAAATAGAAATAAAAGTATAGGAAGACATATAGAAACTAGTTACAAATGGATTCACCAGGTTTAGTTAACAATTATGTATAGGTATAGAAACTGAACTACCTAGCCTTTCAAAGGTTTTTAATAAATAAAAACTGTTGTAAGTCGCACATTTGTCAAAACTAAAGATTGAAAAGAATTAAGAGAAAAGTATGATAATGGTTCTCAACACTGAACTAGTTTTGATTACATACTCAGTATTTATGTGAATTTTAATGTTTCCCTGTAAAAATCTAAGCAAATTTTGTAGAAATTAATTGAAGCATACAGAAAAACACTAAGTAGTTATTATATTTGGAATATTTCACGTCCTCCGTGCAATATAGTCTGCCACCAATTAAACATTTCATTTCATTAATTATTTCCAAACTTAACCAAATAGTCTTTAACGCACGTCATAATAAAGCGAGTATTTTTCTTCAATTCCTTGACGTACATTTAACTTCCAAAATGGCGAGGTCGTTTGCGAATTTCACAACCTTTTGTGCTATAAAATGAGGGCCAATTCCGAAAATTTCTATTGGCGCCTTGTACTCGTACGTATTGTCTGACACTAAACGCACCGCTCTACGCAAGGTTGAGCAAATGCAACACATATTCGTCGTCTTGTTTTCTGCTGCTTGGAACCTAAAAATAATTTATAATATAATAAAAAAGCCAAAAATAGAATTTTTGTTTCACTATATTATACTTCAAATATATTCCTGGTTTACATAAGGTTGCACATGGACAAACATTCAGATCTGAAACAAATATTTGTAGGCCATACAAACAGCCTGCCGCGGCAATGTGATTCAAATAAGAATAGGAAGGAACGTACCGCTTGAAAGATAATTAATTTACCACTTTTATATTTATTTAACTCAGTCTTAATACAATGGAATCTATTGCAGTCATAATTAGTTTAAAAAAATAATATATAACTTTTTATTTTATCTATTTTCATTGTTGGCAACATTTCACCAAAAAGTTAATTAATAAATTAAATAAGCAAATAAAATAATTAAATGATATATTGAAGTGATAGATTTCGATTAAAACTGTTTATTTTATGTTTTTTTCTATTTATATGTAAATATTTTTTTAATATATCTGTTTTATTCACCCTACAATTAGGTAGGGTGAGGAAAACAGATATAGATATATTTGAATTGACAGCTGTGTAATTAAGAACAGATCTGACATCTATTCTTAATTGAATCGCATAAAGTAGTAAAGTAGTAAAGTAGTAAAGTAAAAGTGCGTGTTGTTAATATATGGCGAATATAATTGAGTTGCCTAGTACTGTGACTTTCTGGAAGCAAAGATTCTGTATTCTGTAGTGGCCGCCAATTTTAATTCTAAGGATCACGTTACAGAAAATCATCCCGATCTATGTCCAACAGTTTACGTACTAATGAGGAATATGATTAAGCTTGCGAACAATCCCGAAGTTTCCATTATATCTCGCATTTAGACATAATTTCAGCCGTCCCAACAAGTATCCTTGTGACCTAAATAATACCTCTGATATCATAATTTTCAAAATATTCTATTTTTTTATAGGATTAGGGTGTCAAATGAGCACACAGTGCACCTGATGGTAAGTTGTTGCTGCGATCCATAGACATCTACATCAAACAAAATTCAGATGCGTAACCCGTGAGAAATAATATGGAATGCCTCGTTTCCAGTAAAAAGGGTCTCCGGTTCTCTACACTTACAATACGAGACACAGCAGCATTAAGCTGCTATTTCACGCCGGTATTCTGTGAGAGCGTGATCCTTCCCCGGTTGAGCCGACCCATTCGTGCTACAAGTATACTATTAATATGGCTGCAGCATGGCTATACCACGTAAAAGTCACAACAAATGACACGTATTGTTTTTCTGACACCAAGCTCAAGTGCTAGAGACCACAAATTAATAGTAATGAGGTCGCAGCACAATCAGTGATCTTCAACACTTGTTGTGTTGTGTCCTCATCACTTCAGTCTTGCTACCGTTACAAGCTCAATTACTATATAATTCGACTTAAAGCAAAAACCTGACCAACAAATAAGTGCACCTTCACGCAATGCAACATTTTCTTTGCTAACTAGCTGGGACTTTTAGGTAACATTATTTTTTCCTTTCATTCACTCATTATAATGCCCTTCACAAATCCACTGCTGAACATAGACCTCTCCAAAGGAATGTCACAAAGCACGATCCTGAGCTACCTGCATCCATCGAATTCCTGCAAGTCTCACCTCTATCTAGTGTGTCCGTCTATGTTTAATATTTTAATAATATGAAAAATTAATTATGATTTTATAAGATTTTTTTTTAATTATTTTTATATTATTAAAATATTAAATAATTTGAAGTCATCGCATTTTTATTTGAAAAGATCGGTCAAATATCATCAGACACCCAAATCATAATTTTTATTCCACATAAATTTGTGGCGATTATTTCCCATATGTGTGACGTTTATTTTTCCTTTTTTCCCATGTAGTGGTGACGTGAGAGAACCTACTACTCCAAATCGTCCCGTGCGTAACGCGTAAGAAGCGACCGAGGAAAACTCGCACAGATCAAATCATAAAAAAGTGCATTTGCCAACCCGCTTGCCAAGTGACCCGAGGCCTATGTTTAGCAGTAAAATTTTATAGGTTATAATGGATGGACTGGTGGATGTGACTTTTCAATTTTTTATTACCTACTATTAAAAGATAATGAAACTTCTCATAAAACAGCCAAAAATTATGGCTTTACCCCAAACTTTTTCTCGACCTATTTGAACAAAATCATCGTAAAATCGATTTCAACTTTCGCATCTTGTAGTGAATAATGTGTCGCACAAATTAAACTCAAGTCCCGGATCTCATAGTAAAAATCTTTTGCAGAGTTAGCAAGCCTAAATGTGATGGTATAAGTTTTTATAATCATAAAAAAGGTTTCATAAATAATGTAACTCACACTGGGCATGTCTCAAGGCGCAGCATCAAGTCCCGTTTCCCTAACAGCAGTAATGCGTTTCGTACGCAAGCAGCGGCGATTACTGATGGTAACTCACTGCAGAGTGTCTTATCTACCATCATACCGCATAAGCAGAGAAAGGTCGCTGCTACTTCAATCTCACCTGGACGAGCGTTATCTGACCACCAGGACAAATATGTTATATAATCTTGAGGCACAACTGGTTGCGATGGAAATTTCTGGAAAAAAATAATTTGTTCATACTGTTAATGCTTGTTTGATTCATGTGTCTCTATGACTACTCTACAGTCCATCACAAGTCCACTGCAGAACATGGACCTTCCCGAAAGTACGGTCCAAAGTTACCTGCATCCATGAAAGCATACCTGCATCATCAGATTGTCACTCCTTGTATTTGTGGGGATTCGGACAATATGGCGCTTACAGGTACGAGGCTGCCACTAAAGGAACTTTTTTTCTCACCAGTTGTATAATACTGACAATATAATACACAAAAAATAAAGAAAACTTGAAATCAATTAATAGTAGAAAAGTTGACAGTTAATGATGATCACTAAATTCTGGTTTATACACATAAATAAGAAAAATCATAAACAATGCTGCTATCTACTTATTTAAATAAAAACTATTAAAAACATAATATTCTGTCAGCATCATTGATAGCATCCCGAAAGCAATTTTTTTTCAACATTAGGAAACATATTAATATAGTTGTTTTTTTTTCCGAAGATATAAAATAACATGAAATAAATTTTTACTTTCTTGTACAGTAGAAATTACCGTATAGTGGCGGTGTAAGAATATCCACTACCCGATATCATCCCGTGGATGTCGAAAGAGGCGACAGAGGGAAACAAATCGGGAGATGGGCAGTGGAGTCTTCCTAATAACGACTAAAAATAAAAAACTGTGGATGCCAACCCGCTTTCCAAGCGCGGCACCTTTCGTAAATATCCTCTTTATGAGTCAAACTATGGGGAGGCCTATTTACAGCAGTGAACTTTAATAGGCTGTAGTGGTAACAGTAACGGTATATACCAATACAACGGCAATAGAAGCTTCCCAATGCAATCGATGGTTTAACAAGGTGAAATTATTACATTTAGTACTTGTTTTTTTGTTCTTTGCTGCCGACGATATTAAACATAATATGTATATGACTATCAAATTATAAAGACCTCCTCATAGATTCCCTCGAAATTGATATTTGCTATAGTTGCCATGCTATAAGATATAAAACTGTTTATTTATATCATAATAATTACTTCTTCTTCTTCAATAGTCCGTAGAAGTCTACTATTGAATATGGGTCTCTCCCATTGTTGGCGAAATTAGCTTTGATCGTCACGTTTGGCAGGACAATTGACGATGGTAAGACGTCTTGTGCTTTTGACGATGATCCACTTCGCCTGTCTAAGAATTTTGTGTTTGACATAAACGAGCAGGTCCACCATCTATCAGAAGCCATAAGATTTCTCGGGGATTTCCCAGAAGTAAGTTTTCCCAAAGTAGAAAAGTTAAAGTTACAGCTTATATATACATCCTTGTGCAGGGCACAGACCTCCTCCCATTTCTGATATTATCTATCTATCTATAATCTGATTAGAGCAAGGAAATGTCCGCCGCGCTGCCCCAATGCGTGTTGGCGAACTTCACATGTCCTCGACATATTTTTTTTCTTATTTCTCAGATATGCAGGTTTCCTCTCGATGTTTTCTTCACCGCCGAGTGCGTGGTAAATTTGCGCATAAATTTGCAATTAACAATTTCATTGGTGCCGCCGAGGATTGAACCCGTGTTGCTCGCGTACTGTGAAGTTGACACCGAGCGCTTAGCCCCTGAGTTACCACGGCTCTTAAACTAGAAGTTAAAATTAAAGTCTAGGTACTGGCAAGAGTTAGTCAAGATGGTCTAGTGTAACTTACCAATTTATTTAAAATCGCTTTTTCGGTCTCCAATAATTGTGTTGTACTGAAGGCTCTGTTTGCATATTTAATAAGCCTGTAAGAGGGGGCCACTGGTCCGTGTAACTTCTGAGCAATCCAATAGCAAGCGGTTGCAACCAGCTGCAATTGATCTAACCGAACGCTACTGATACTCAAAACCGAGTCCAGATACCAGGATGCTGTCTGGACCACCGCTGGATTACCATCGGAACCCTATTAATAGGAAATAATTTAAAAAAATCATATTGTAATCTAAGTTAAAGTAACAGCCTATATAAGTCCCACTGCTGGGCTCAGGCATCCTCTCATTCCTGAGAGGGTTTTAGGGCAAAGAAATATCCACCGCGCTGCCCCGACGCATGTTTTTTTTTTATAGTATTAGGGTGACAAACGAGCGCACAGATGACCACCACCTGATGTTGAGTGCATGCTGTGGCCCATAGACATTAAGAATCAAAATGCATATGCGTTGTCACCCGTGCGGACTAAGATGGAATGCCTCATATCCAGAAAAAGGAGTCTCAGGTCCTCTACACTCACCATATGAAACACCGCACCATTTATCTGCTATTTTACGCTGTTATTCTGTGAGAGCATGGTTCTTCTACCCCAGCCGAGCCGACCCGTTCGGGCTACAACCATAATATAGCTACATTGTGGCTATACCACGTGTAAATTGTAGTGCGTGTAGGCAAACTTTCGAAATATTTTTTCTTATTTCTCAGACATGCAGGTTTCCTCACGATGTTTTCCTTCACGTTGGTAAATCAGCACTTAAAAATTGCAATTAGCAATTTGATTAGTACCGGCGGGAATAGAACCCGAGTTGCTCACGTACTGTGAAATTTACAACGATCGGTTAGCCCTGAGCTACCACGGCTTTTTCATTGTAATAAGTCGAAACCTTTCACCAGATCGCATTACATATTATCGCCCCTTTGGCACTGGTCTTCCTCACCGAATCACCGATTCGAATATCATAGAAAGAAGGCTACAATTATTTTCTTATTTTATATAACCATTCACCTGATAATAAATAGATGCTGTGACTCATAGATTTACCAAGACCTATAAATTTATTTTTGATTAACAATCAAAATGCAGATGCGTTGTCACCTCTTAGGATTAATATGGAAATGCTCGCTAAACATACGAAGGACAGAATTTTGCTGCTTTTTTATTTACCTTCGCCAATCATATCAATTTATGCAGTAGTACATCACAAACAACAGCTGCAGCGTATTTCTACCACAAAACAAAAGGACTAAGATGGAGTAAATCTGTACAATTTTACTGCTTGCATTATATATTTAGACAACCTCATAATTTTAAGGAAAGCGTGCAACAGTAAGGTCTAAGTCTAATGGGACTTCATTAACTATAATTTGCAACAATTTATTCGGTTTATAATTAAAAAGTTTATATGAAAATATATTGAAAGTCAAAAGGTGAGCGTGTACAACTGACCGGTGATATTAATTCTTTTATTTATATTTTTATTTGAAAGAGGTATCTCAAAATTTTATTTTAATTATAAGTGATAGTCAAGGAACGAAATATTTTGACAAACCAAAAAAGATATATTATAATAACCAATAAATTGCTTACCCTTTGAAAAAGCTATTTACATTACAGACCATTACAAGACCGCTGCTGAATTGGCCTCCCTTAGACATTGCCATAAAGATCAGTCTATATCTTTAAGTCGCCATTACATTTAAGGGTTGTAACCAAAGAACTATACATATATGATATATAAATATATAAGTGATGTTTTCTTATCGGATTTAGCGGCGACGCGAAACAAATTTGTATATTATTTTAATTGACTTAATTATCATCATCATCATCATGACACTTTACAACCTACCATAAGGCCACACTGCTGATAATATATAGTTTTGATAGGCCTACTAGGCCTCCCCCTGGAATACATAAGTTGTATTAACAAATTATACGTAGATAAAAATAATACAATTTCAATGTTATGTAAATAACTGTATAAAAATTAGGCTATATACGAGTATGTCATTGTAAAATACTTTTTATCAGAATAAGTAAATAGGAGCCGAAGTTAAAAAAACCCTCGACTGGAATTTTTGTTTTAATTAAATGCCATATCATGCCGAAAATGATGTATTATTTTGCCTTAATTTAAGGTAAATATAGGCATGAATATCTTGTGTTAGGGTCGTGTGTTCAAATTATCAGAATTTTCAATGTTGGTGTTCGTCATATTTTCAACTATAACAACAACAAGATTTTTACTGGCATGCAATTACAATCTAGTCAAAATAATACAGTTCTTTTGCCCGGTGTCTATATGAGACGATTTTTTTTTAAGAACTTCATCAGTTTCATTGAGTAAAATTAAACCTAATTTTTCTGAAATCATATATGAAATATTCGGTTGGACTAGAACAGTTGTGTAATATATAATTGAAAAAAAAAACACTCAAAGTAATAAAGCTTTGAACCGTTAATTAATTATTTATTCGGCTTTATAATAATGTAATTAAAACTTCCTGGGCACAGCTAGTTACAAATAGAATTATAAACTTAAAAAAGACCCCAGAAAATCTTGCCGGTTTTTTTGCGATGGTTTTGTTTTTGTGAACCAGAGTAGATTCTGACGTTGATGAGACTGTAAACAAGCATAAAAAGTCCTAAATTTAACTTTGAAATAAAATATACGGACCGGAGACTGTGAGCACCTTGATTGTGATCTCGAAACCCACCTGACAAGCAAGGCAGTTGAGACTAATCATTACGTTACTACGACATGGCCCAGTGTCCAACAGTAGGCTCTTTACTGGCTAATAAAGAAAGACTTTTTATAGAATAGCTACCTACTTCTACCTACCTAGCAAGGCGACTACGGGACATTCTTAATTAAGGGCAATAATAATAATCAATTATTCCAGAAACATATCCAATATTAATTACTTCAAATATATTTATTTTATGTTAAAGTTTTTTTTAATATATAGAATAAGGGTGATAAACGAGCATAGAATGCACCTGATGGTAAGTGAATGCTGTGGTTCATTTCACCTTCATCTATCCTCAAGTAAGAATCAAAAGGTTATGCGTTGGCATTTCAGAGGGCTTTAGCCTCGTTACTAGTAAAACGGATCTCCAGTTCTTTTCCACACGAAACACAGCAGCATTAAGCTGCTATTATACTCTAGTGTTCTGTGGGAGCGTGGTCCTCCCCGGTCGAGGTAACCCAAAAACAAAATTACACACAAATAATTATTTAATTTTAGGGAATGTCGATTTAGTACATACGTTCACTCTTAATAACCAATTCAGGACACAAGCTCGAGTGATGCTGGGTATTCTCGGCGCGGATGCAGGTCTTTCGATTTTCAGTAAATGAGGGAACAGATCCTTGACATAATCCCTTTCGATGCACTCCGTATATGACTTCTCAACTGCAGAGAGAAGGAAAATATTTGCAAGGAATTTTTAACACTTTCACTGTCCGGTTGTCAGACACAATATTAAGACAATAGCAATGACCTATATGTAGTGCACGGGACAGCGAAAGGGTTGAGGAAGGTCTTATTTCTCAGAGACTTCCGGAACAATTATTGTCACGCTGCTCCGGTGAGTATTGGCGAACTACACATATCCTTGAAATGTTGAACTTCGCAATCATGCAGGTTTTCTTACGATATTTTCTTTCACCGCCGAGCGCGGGGTACAAACTAACACATTTGAAGAAAAAAAAAACTAATTATTATCGACTGACATATTTTACCTGTACTATTATATATTATGTGATATTTTTAAGATGCTGCGATACAATTTCTCCTTAATTAAGCTTTGGTCAGGGTATGAGAAATTTAATAAAGTACAAACATTTTTAATACTACTCTAATATGTTATGTGTAATATTCTAAATGCTTACAAAGGAATATTTTACTCATCTATCTAAATATTTTTTTGTCAAAGATAACAGTACAGAAGTAAAATACAAAATTAAAAAAAAATTACTCCTCTGACCATTGAACACGTATTGCAACAGAAAGGAAACTCCGCTCTAATTAGTTTTAACGTACATCACATATTCTTTTTTTATAGGATGGTAAGTGACTACCGCCACCCATGAACAAACAGCAACTCCAAGGGAATTGCAGATTCGTTGTCGGTCTTTTAAAAAGCAGTAGGCTCTTTTCATGAAGGTCCTTAAGTCGTATCGGTCCGGAAAACTCGCTGGTGGTAATCGATTCCACAAGGAAGTTGTGCAAGGAAGAAAACATCTTCTAAATCGCACAGTGGTGGACCGCCAATCATCCAGATGGTAAGGATAGTATCTCGAGTTTTGTCGCGATGTATAATGGTGAAATTGAGCGGCTGGAATCAGTCCGAACAATTCCTGAGAGCACTTCCCGTGGTAGATGCGATAAAATATGCGTTAGTAACCCCTAATCCGAGACTTTGTTCAGCAAAGACTAGACTTCCGACACAAGTTTGTCTCGGTACCCGGCGACGTTTTCCTGTTATATATTGGCACGGCCGATGTATAAAGCATCACCAGTGCTGTTATCCGCATAGCAATGAATGTTACCGGTTTGCAATATATCATTGATATGCAGAAGAAACAGCGTTGGTGATAGCACGCAACCTTGTGGAACACCAGCGTTAATAGGCTGTAATTGGAGCATGCACCGTCTAGTACGACTTTGATGCTCCGATCAGCCAGAAACTAGTGATCCAATTGCACAATAGGAAGGAAGCTTCGAAAGAAGCATATTGTGCCAGACCCGATCGAAAGCCTTCGCTATGTTCAAACTAACGGCCAATGCCTCTCCCCCTTGGACTACTCCCAGGTGTTAAGTAAACAAAAAGATTACCAGCTGAGCGAACCCGACGGAAACCGTACTGGCGGTCACTATCAGCTGGTGCTCCTCAAGGTACGCATGAGCTGGCAGTTAATAATGAACTCCATTATTTTCGAGAACAAGAATCTGATAGCGATAGGCCTGTAGTTAGACGGATCAAAGCGGTTACCTTTTTTAGGGATCGGGTGTGAATTCGTGACTACGCCTAAGGTCTAGGAGTACCGGATAAGATACATTAGAACCGGTGCCGAGCGCACGTACTTGGCACAATTGGCGGGATTCCATCAGGCCCACTCGACTTGTGTATGTCCAGGGAGAGGAGTGCTTTGCGTACTGAGATCTGTGTGAATCGCACATCAGGCATAGAGCACTCACACTGCGGGATGGTCGGCGGTGTGTGTGTGAGGGGGTTCACGAGAGTCGAGTTGGACGTAAAAGGGAGCCTAAAAAGTCGGCTTTCTCTTTTGCGGCGTGGGCCAGTGAGTCATCCTCTCTGTGCAGAGATAGTAGTGATGGCTTACAGAAATTCCATTGGCGAGAGACCAGAATGCACGTGTTCCCGAAGGAAGGAGAACTAATTTCTCGCCAATTCTGCCTATGTGCTCATACTTTGCCTTGCCAATAACTATTTTGAAGGACCTGTAAGCGAAGTTATACTTCTTTTTAAGCATGCTGATGTTTACATCCCGAGCCGCCGAAGCCTCAGCCTAGGCCTGATAACACTCCTGCTTACTGAGTAATGCAGTCTTACAGGAGCGACCAAACCAAGACTGAGATCTGCCTCCGATAGGTACCACAGATGATGGAATAAATAGTTCCATTCCCTGTAGCACCACATCAGTGACAGAGACATCAACAGCGCTGGGATCATCCGGTAAAAAGCAAACCAGCCCTCATGGGTAGGATGCAAAGAAATACCGCATTCCGTCCCAATCCGCTGACTTGTAATGCCGAACACGGCGGCAACCTGCAGAACAAAACCGCGAGGGAAGCGTGAGTGGCACCACACTCCGGATCAGACAATGGTCCGAAGAACCGAGAGGGGTATCGACGGAAACCTGATATCCGTCCAGATGAGAGGTCAGCAGAAGGTTCAACAGGGAAGATGAATGATCCTTCACATCTGGAATCCGCGTAGGCGAAGTAACCAGTTGTGTCAGACCATATGCCAAAGGAAAGTCATAAATAGATGTGATACGCCTATTCTCGATATATATTTTATTTTTCAGATGTTTAGGCATTCGTTCATTACTGAGCACGTGATAAATTTGCATGTAAACCTGCTAAAATTCCAGCACCGATTCGAACTTAGTAATTGTTCAAGATTAATTTCAAGCAAGTGCCCTACTTCTCATTTGTCTCGGCGCACACTTGACTGATTCTGAGCCTGTGTTTAATTCGTTAAGAAACGACAAAGTCTATTTCTACTGGCTTTTTTATGATATTATCATAAAGGCAATCTAAATTGAATTGTCATTTTAATAACTATTAGCAGGAGAAGAGTACTTGTACAAATTTTGTATTTTTGTTTTCGGCATTGACAGGCATTGCTGTTGTCGAAAAAGTATCATATTTCATTTTATCATTAGTAAAAGTGCGAATACGAATGCTTGATTTAATTCGCCTTTGACCTCACCTAGATACAAGCAGCCTGCAGCCTGTGTACAACCTGCCAGCTAATAAATTTTGTTGTTTTTTTTTTATTTGGTTAATATGAACGTCTTTTTCATGACCATTTTCTAGGCACAGAAAGTACACAGAAGGCACATAAAAGGCGCTGGTGTTTGTACTAACGGTTTGAAATTGCACTTACTATTACGAGAATACTCAAAAAAAACATTCGTTTCGTATAAATATTATGAAATGTAGGTACTTACAAATATCCAGCGACTGCAATCTATCATTCAAGCGGTCGTTGAATTTTAAACGACGTTTGAAGTTTTCTTCTCCTTTTTTCTCCGGATGTGTCACCGGGGAAAGACCTTGTAACTCTCTGCTGTGCGGCCTTTTCAAACTCTTTTTTATGTTCCTCACCCTTTTCGGTTCAAGAGTAGATCTATGTAATGGAGTAAGCACCTTCCTGGCCTCACCAAGACAATTTTTCTGTTTATTTTCACTAATAGAATTGTATTTTTCCTTGTCGCCCTCAATAAAACTTTCCTCGTCGTCACTTATTGAAATTATACTACTGTCTTTATTATTTGTTTCTTCTTTAAAAACTTTAAAGTCCCAATCCAAATCTTCATTTCTTTGTCTAAAAGTAACATATTTTGAGTCAACTTCATATGTACGTCTAGTCTTAGTTGATACTACTCCACCGTGTCCCGTGCTAGGTCCAGCAAGCAAAACTGATGAGCTATTAATAGTTTTTAATGGAATTCTATTATCTTCGCTTACTGGATCTTTTTGAATTTTCTTGAGTAATAAATGCTTAGGTAAGGCTGGTAAAGGTTCCATTGGCAAAGGAATTTTGGTTTTGACTTTTAATCTATTTATATTTTCTTTGTTTGCCTCCATCTCTATTTAGCATTTGTTTTAACTGTTCTTATAATACTTTTGATGACCGTTCACGACCAGCGCGACCGTTAACATGAGATAACAAAGGAATAATTTATACTTTGCTTAAAACTACCCGAATCAACAAATTATAAACTTCACAAATAACAATACCATAGAGAGTTAGCGACGATTAAGTATTAAGTGGGTATAATTGAAAATCAAAATATGTATATTATATTATTTTTCTTCAACATATGTTTTGTCATAATACCTTAATAATTTGATAATTAGACGAAAAATATACTCACATAAAATATGAAAACTTTAGTGATAAATACTTTAATTCTACTGAATACTAATCAGCCTTTATTTAATAACAATTGATGAATGTAATATATATATATTCTTACCTAATACACGTTTGCCATTTGACTGAACTGCACGAAACCTAACAAACGATTTGAAGGTTTAAAACACAACCTAAAATATTATGATTGTAACATTCTGCTGAAATTTTTATTACGTTCTTGTTGCATTTTAATGTATACTTGTAAATTTCAATTTAATTGTTTTATGTAATTGCGTTATATTCTTACAACTTGCGTTATCTAATTTACTAAGTATTACATTTCTCTGTTAAAAAAGATGTCCGACATATCGATTATTATTATTATTTATACTCTTTATTGCACACAAAATATTACACAACACAACAAACTATAATTTATAGATGTATGTACAATCAGTAGCCTTATTGCTAAACAGCGATCTTTTCCAAGCAAACCTTGGTGAAGGAGATCAATTTCATTTTAACATATAAAAGTGTGCATAAATAGTAGATAAACGAGTATATACTCGTATATAACAAGTTGTAAACTTTAAATTTTGTACAACCAACTTCATTATAAATATAATTTATTGCTGATTTTTTTAAACCGCTCGACCGTTTTCGATAAAATTTAAATGGGACTACCTGGGAAGTATACCCTTTGAAACAAAAAAGAATTTATCAAATCCGTTCAGGCGTCTTCAAGTAATCGGTGAACATTCTATACATCTTTATATATAAAAATTACGTGTCACGTTGTTTGTCCGCGATGAACTCCTAAGCTACTGAACTGATTTCAATGAAATTTTGCACACTCTGTGCAGTTTAGTCCAACTTGAGAGATAGGATAGTTTTTATCCTGATAAGTCACTCAATATTTTTTTATAACGAATTCAAGGATTTTTTATATGAAGGGTCGTCAAAAAGGGCAGAACAACGTCTGCTTTATATATCGATATATATCGATGTAACAAAGTAACAAATAATTTCGTAACAAAAATAATTTTTAATGAAAAGTAAAACCATCTTAAAAGATTTAAAAAAATATATATATAATAGTTTCATATTTTAACAGTAACGTAACTACCGTGTAGTGCCAGTGTTGGAATTACCCCATATTGTGGGTGTCGTAAGAGGCGACAGAGGGAAATTAAATAGGATATGAACAGCATCATCTTCCTGATAACAAATCAAAACAATAAAAATCTGCGGTTTCCAACCTATTAGAGCCCTGGTTCTGTTTAATCACTTTTTCAATACGAGCAGTATTAAAGTTGCGTAAGTCCCGCCGCATGCATATGGAGTTCTGTCTGTTCAGTTGCCTGTATGCTATCAAATCTACTGAAGACTGCAAATAAGAGTGTGATTGGAGAGTCTTTGTGTTCTTCTGCCGCGGGTCTTGCAAAACTTACCTCTGACCGCATGGACAGTTTCCACGAGCTTATCATTTATATCGTCCACTGCATTGCAATTTTCTAGGCATTGAAAACGGTTTTGTAATTCGAGATGAAAGGATTCGGGACTTTGGATTAGAGTACGAGCGCGACGGAGCGTTGATCTCATTAGACGACACCTTTTTAAGTTAACATTTGGGTTCAGTGTCCTTCTAACCATTCGGTGATCGCTACCAGTTTACACCCTCGCGATCACCGAGATATCACTAAACAGTTGCCGTCTAGTCGTCATAATGAAGTCAATCTCATTTTTTGTCGAACCATCGGGGCTTCACCAGGTCCACTTTCTGTGGGGCCGCTTCTGTAAGAAAGATTTCATCATAAAAAGTCCCTCTTTCTCTATGAGCCAAGCCGTAGCTTTTGCTGTCGCACGGATGGGCCAGCTCGAACCGGGGTGGTACCACGACCTCACAGAATACCAGCGTGTAGTAGGGGTTTACCTCAGCGTTGCACTTGGTGAGTGCAGGTGGCCGGAGGCCCATTCCCCCCCCCCCCCCCCCCCATCAACAAATAGTGGAATTAAATAAAGACTACCCCAGGAAGGTACCAGCACCCCTGGAGAATCCCTCGCTGAGCATCCACGACCAAACTACTTCACTCCTGAGCGTGGGTGCTCAGGCTGCCCCGCGTATTCTGGAGGGGGGGGGGGAATTCCGCTCGCGACTAATGCTGCTCGGGGCAAGCGGAGCAATACAACCAAGGCGACCCTTGTCACGCTATCCGTGAATTTTTGCAACATCAGGGGATTTCACTCCAACCTTAACGCTGTCCATTACCATCTAGAGACGGCGAAGCCGGCCTTGCTCTTTTTAACCGAGACTCAGGTGTCCTCTCTGGCTGATACTTCATATCTCTCCTACCCGGGGTACAAATTGGAACACTCCTTTGTGCCCCGGGCTGGAGTTTGCGTATACGTCAGAGAGGACATATGTTTTCGACGCCTCGGCAGTCTTGAAGGTACGGACCTATCCATCCTATGGCTGAGCGTAGACAGCGACGACCATCCCCGCGTCTACGGGTGCCTCTATAGGTCCCATAGCGGTAATGCCGACACAGACCGACTCATCGACCACGTCCAAATGGCTGCAGACTCCGTGCTACAACAGGTCCCATCCGCAGAGATCGTGATACTCGGTGATTTCAACGCCCACCACGCTGAATGGCTTGGTTCTCATTTAACCGATCATGCGGGTAGATCTGTCTATGACTTTTCTTTGGCATATAGTCTAACACAACTAGTTACTTCGCCTACGCGGATCCCAGATGTGGAGGATCATGTACCTTCCCTGTTGGACCTTCTGCTGACCTCTTATCCGGACGGATATCAGGTTTCCGTCGATGCCCCTCTGGGCTCTTCGGACCATTGTCTGATCAGGAGTACGGTGCCACTCACGCTCCCATCGCAGTTGCGATCTGCAGCTTGCCGCCGTGTTTGGCACTATAGGTCAGCTGATTGGAACCGGATGCGGTCTTTTTCTGCATCCTACCCTTGGGGGCGGGTTTGCTTCTTGCCGGAAGATCCCAGCGTTGCTGTTGCTGCCGATTCTGTTGCTGATGTGGTGCTTCAGGGTATGGAACTTTTTATTCCATCCTCTGTGGTGCCCATCGGAGGCAGATCCCAGCCATGGTTTGGTCGCTTCTGTAAAATAGCATCACGCTATAAGCAGGAGTGCTATCGGGCCTGGGCTGATGCATCAACGTCTCGGGATGTAAACACCAGCGCACTTAAAAAGAAGTATAATTCCGCCTCCAGGTCCTTCAAAAGCGTCATTGCCAAGGCAAGGTCTGAGCACATCGGCAGAATTGGCGAGAAGCTAGTTCGCCTTCCTTCGGAAACCCGTGCATTCTGGTCTCTCGCCAAGGCTGGCCAAGGGAACTTCTCTCAGCCATCTCTTCCATCTCTGCACAGAGAGGACGACTCACTGGCCCATGCCGCAAAGGAGAAAGCCGATCTGTTGAGCTCTCTTTTTGCGTCCAACTCGACTCTAGATGACGGGGGGAACACACCGACCATCCCGCAATGTGAGTGCTCCATGTCGGATGTGCTATTTACACAGCGCTCGCTTCTCCCTGGACGTCAACAAGTCGAGTGGGCCCGATGGAGTCCCTCCCAATGTGCTAAAGACGTGTGCTCCGGAGTTGGCACCGGTTTTAACGCGTCTTTTCCGGTACTCCTACTCCCAAGGCGTAGTCCCGAATTCATGGATGACAGCTTTGGTCCACCCGATCTCTAAAAAAGGCGACCGCTCAGACCCGTCCAACTACAGGCCTATTGCCATCACCTCCTTGTTCTCCAAAATAATGGAATCCATTATAAACTGCCAGCTCATGAGGTACCTTGATGATCACCAGCTGATTAGTGACCGCCAGTACGGTTTTCGTCGGGGTCGATCAGCTGGTGATCTTCTAGTCTACTTAACTCATACATGGGCGGAGGCAGTAGAGTCCAAGGTGGAGGCATTGGCCGTTAGTTTGGACATAGCGAAGGCCTTCGATCGGGTCTGGCACAAAGCACTTCTTTCGAAGCTTCCTTCCTATGGGCTTCCCGAGAAATTGTGCAAATGGATCACCAGTTTCCTTGCTGATCGGAGCATCAAGGTCGTAGTAGACGGTGCATGCTCTAATTTAAGCCTATCAACGCTGGTGTTCAACAAGGCTGCGTGCTATTACCAACGCTGTTTCTCCTGCATATCAATGATATGTTGCTAACTGGTAGCATTCATTGATATGCAGACGACAGCACTGGGGATGCCTTATATACTGTCCGTGCCAATATTTCTCGGGAAAATGTCGCCGAGTACCGCGACAAACTTGTGTCTGAAGTCGAGTCTTTGCTTAACAAAGTTTTGGATTGGGGCCGACTAAATCTAAACCAGTTCAATCCCCAGAAGACACAAGTTTGCGCGTTTGCCGCTAAAAAGAACCCCTTTGTCGTATCTCCTTAGTTTCAAGGCACTCCCCTTGCTGCCTCAGCCAGTATCGGAATCCTTGGCGTCGACATATCGAATAGTGTGTAGTTTCGTGGTCACTTGGAAGGGAAGGCCAAATTGGCCTCTAAAAAGCTTGGCGTGCTCAGCAGAGCGAGACGGTATTTCACGCCGACACATCGCTTGCAACTTTACAAAGCGCAAGTTCGGCCCCACATGGAATACTGTTCTCATCTCTGGGCCGGGGTACCCCACTGCTGGCTCTTTCCACTTGACCGCATCCAGCGCAGAGCGGTTCGAATCGTCGACGACCGAGTTCTTTCTGATCGGCTCGATACACTGGCACTGCGTAAAGATGTTGCATCTCTTTGCGTATTTTATCGCATTTATCACGGGGAGTTCTCTGAGGAATTGTTCGGACTAATTCCAGCCACTCAATTTCACCATCGCACATTGCGACAAAACTCGCGTTACCATCCATACCATCTGGATGATTGGCGGTCCACCACTGTGCGATTTAGAAGAAGTTTTTTCCCTCGCACAACTTCCTTGTGGAATCAATTACCACCAGCGAATTTTCCGGACCGATACGACTTAGGAACCATCAAGAAAAGAGCTTACACCTTTCTAAAATGCCGGCAACGCATCTGCAATTCCCCTGGTGTTGCGGTTGTTCATGGACGGCGGTAGTCACTTACCATCAGGTGAGCCGCATGCTCGTTTGTCCCCTATTCTATAAAAAAAAATTACGACCAGTGCCCTCTGACTTGAGCTAACACGGCTTCATAGTTATTACCCATTAAATTTGTTATACAATCTTATCACGAACTCTTCTTCTTCTTCGTCATCTTTACTTTTTGGCTTCTCTTAAAAGAATTCTGCCAAAGTCATGGGAGTGACAACAAGGTAAATAAAATATTTTTTTTGATTTTCTTTTTTGTGATTATCTTCTAATCTACAACAAAAGACAACACAAACAGTTATAATTCTATCACCAACAATGATTAGTATTATGTTACAACTTAATATTATTGGTATAAATAAAATCACATAATATATGCACAAATGAGGAGAACACAAGAGACAGCAGACAGGTAGAATTAGTAGGACGAGGGATGTTTTGGGGGAGGATATCATACAAGGAGAACTTGAGTCGTGGACATTCGAAAAATATGTGATCGTTGGAACCTTCATCAAGACCACATTCGCATAAAGAATTATCCCTTATTCTTAATTTGGCTAGGTGTACCGATGTGCAAGAATGACCGAAGCGAAGACGGCAAACGGTTGATGTAGTAAATTTGTTGGCTTCACGATAATGGAAAAAAACCAGATATGTACGGGATTACGTCGTTTGTTCGCAGAGACCTTGCCAAGATGCCATAAAGTCATATCCTGCTAGTGGAAGCAAGTCATGGGGGAAAATATGGTACTGAGAGAGGTTATCAGCACACTCATTACCATGTATCCCGGAAAGGCCTAGAATCCAAGCCAAAACAACTTTTAGGCCTTTTTGTGACAATTATATAATGATATATAATGATTTTTTTTAATAAAGAGGGTAGGGAAAAGATTTGATTTAGAGTGGAATGAGCTGGAGATAATAGTTTGGAGACAGCTAAGAGAGTCAGAGAGAATTAAGGTATTTTCCAGTTTGTCAGATTCGGCATATAGGATTGCCTCTAAAATAGCAATAGATTCACCTGTTCACTTAAAATTTAAAATTATTCTATATTTATGGATCCACAGTCAGAGCCTACACAATCTTTGATAGAAGTCTTTGAAGCATTTGCGTACATAATGATTCAATCTTGCCAATTTTCTGAGATGATTTTCTTTAATTTACTCTTAGGATCAATGGTTTTCTTGTCAAGAGTTCTTACAAACTCATTCGGCGGCAAAATAAAATTTAAAATCACATATTTTTGTTGCTTACCAGGTGGGACTTTAGTCAAGCACCAGGCTTATGCCATTGCTTTTGTATCTATCCTGTTAGTTCAAATATATGCTGTATTGATACAGCTGGCTAACTTCATTGATAAGGATGTACACTTTAAGATAAATCTCTTATTCCACAGGAAGTGGATAAAGTTCAGAGCCCCGACTATTCGACAAAAATGACTTTGACTTCATTATGCCGACCGAGCCACAATTTTTTAATAATACTTCAGTGATTACGAGGGCGAAATCTGGCAATGATCACCGAACAGTGAGGAGCACACTGAACCTTGATCTAGAGTTGGAGAGATTTTTGCTATTGGCATAGGAATTTCAGTTCGATAGACCACGGTTTCACAGAATACCAGCTAAAATAGTAATTCTGCTAATTTCTGCTGCTTTTAGTATGGTGGGTGTAGAGATTCGGAGACCCTTTTTAATAGTTACGAGGCATTCCATCTGAATTCTCAGGGATGAAAACGCGTCTTCATTTTGATTTTTAATGAAGGATAAATCTAGATATTTATGGGTCACAGTATCTACCATTACTTCACTACCATTGGGTGCACTGTGTGCTCGTTTATCACCCTAATCTATTGTATTGTAGTGTGTACTGTTTTATTGTATTTAATAATAGCCATGATAGTGCTTTAAATTAGGCTACGTCTGGGAATACGCAAGTATGGTACTTTGTTAAAAAGCATTTAAGAAGTCATATATTTTACATTTTATTTAATTAATACTTTGTCATTTGGAATATTAGTAATTTTACACATAGGCTTAAAAATCTTATTAAATTTATGTACGAGTTTAGGTGGCATTGATTTATCTATACTTTCCATTACTGCGTTTCGGGGCATTTTAAAGCTAGTCTTAAACCAGATATTGGCGGTACGGGGCTTGTTAAGCCCCGCCGCCCTTAGGAGATTAAAATCAGGGTTACTGGTACCCTTCTGGGGTAGTCTTTCATATAATTTCGCTACTATTGAGCCTCCGGCCACCTGCACACACCAGGTGAAATGCAGAAGTAAACTTCTACTTCACGCTGGTATTCTGTGAGGTCGTGGTATCACCCCGGTTCGAGCCGGCTCATCCGTGCGACAGCGAAAACTGCCGCGTGGCTCTACCACTGTTAAAGCTACAGTACCCGCCTCAGTGAAATTATACAGAACGTATCATTTATCACCTGTATCATCTTCATCACTGTCTTTAAAATCTAACTTTTTTACGGGAACGTTTCGACATATCGTCGCGTGCGCAGTCTCGAATGTGATGCGCAGCACTGGCCGCGTGAAGCTAGCACAGAGTGCGGTACGAGGTACACGGGGATACACGGTCTTCCCAACCTTGTTCTGCGCTGCATTAATTTTTTTATTTATGAGTGCGGCCCAAGGTTTAAGAAACCCGGTATTAAAGTAGGTACACCACATAGCTCGGGATCAATTGCACATCTAAGATATATATTTATCACTTTCCTACACTGATCCAAGTAGAAGTTACGCCTTCCGCACGACAGAGAAGTTTATGTTTTTCCTTGCCGCACCACAGGCGAGACATGGACAAGGTGTTTTAGGTCCTGTTTCGCACTGAACGTGTTAATGTACTTTTAACAACTTTTTGAGGTCATTTCGTATTTCTGTAATTAATTAGACAGTTTGTAGACACAATTTTGTAGAAAAATAAAATGAAAATATTTTACACAGATTTTGCAATTATAAAAAGAAATTAAAGAATAAGAAGACATACTAAAACTATTCTAGGTACAAATTGATTCACCAGGTTTTGTTAACAATTATGTATATAGAAACTGAACAACCTCTTTTTAACACTTTCACTGTCCGGTTTGCAGACACAATAGTAAGATAATAGCAATGACCTATATGTAGTGCACGGGACAGCGAAAGGGTTAATGAATATTTACTGTTCCAAATCGCATATTTGTTAAATTTATTAAACATTGAAAAAAAAATTAGAGAAAAGTATGATAACAGTTCTGAACATTGAACTAATTTTGATCTCATACAAGTATTTTGGTGATTTTTAATGTATCGCTGTAAAAATCTTAGCGAAATTTAACATTTATTGTGTTAAAGCACATAGAAAAACACTATACGTATTATTATTAGTATTAGTTTATTTTTATCTAAAATAAGGGTTACTTATTATATTTAGAATATTTCGCCTCCTCGTACAATACGGTTCAGCGGCCATTCAAACATTTCATTTCATTAATTATTACAAACTTAACCAAAATACTCACTGGACAATGACGTGCATAAAGACTAGTTTTTTTTTTTCATTTTTTCATGCTCGTCATAGTCCAGGGAGTATTTTTACTCGATTGACTTGATGTTGCTATTCCTTCCGAAATGGCGAGCTCGTTGGCGTATTTCACAACCTCTTGCGCTATTGAATGAGGGCCAATTCCGAAAATTTCCATTGGCGCTTTGAACTCGTACTTAATGTCAGACACTGTACGCACCGCTCTACGCAAGATCGAGCAAATGCAACACATTCTCGTAGTTTTCTTTTCTGCTGCTTGGAATCTAAAAGTATTTTATAATTGAAAATACTTCATTATAAAAAGTCTAAAATCTCGAGGCATTCCGTCTTAGTCCTCAGGGGCGACAACACATATGCATTTTGATTCATAATCGAAGATAAATCTATGTCTATGGGCCACAGCATTCACTTACCATCAGGTGGACTGAGTGCTCGTTTGTCATCCATATTCTATAAAAGATCGGGTGTTCGTTTCACTTTATGTACTTAAAACCTATGCTCAGGTAACAAAAGATTTTTCTCCTATATCATGGAGGTGTTATATACAGGGTATTTTTGGAACGCTCCCGAAAACTAAGACAGGCGACAACACCAAGTACACCTTTGATCATGGGTCACAAGTAAATTCGATCCTGATGAAAAAAAATCATCTTTTTACAACGTTTTATTAGCTTTATTCATGCGCCATCATGTTAGTACAGCTAAATGAAACGATAATTTCATAAAATATATCATGAAAATACTGAAACATAAAACCAGCAGTGGAATGACTGAATTTATATCACCTGACTGAAAGGTCAATGTACGCGCGAACGCAAATTCGCGCGGCCCGCAACTAGCGGGCCATACCACAATATCTAATAATTTACAACCTACTATTTTGCCACTGTGCTTGTCTCCACTTAGCCACTTTAATCCGAATTTACAGGTTAAATAACCCAAATAACTGGTTCGATTCCCCGCTAATGAAAAAATACTTAAATGAAATGTAACCAAGGTTGGAGTCATGAGTTTTTATTCATCGTGTAGGTATGTTTATTATTCTCATGTATTCAGTTATGTACCTATTCAGATTAGTCTAGTACTAAGTTATTTAAAAAAAAATAGGTATGAAACAGCTTACCGCTCTAAATCCTCCGTGGTCTTATGAGATGCGGCTCAAATTGTGCTCCATTCATTTCAAGGTAGATTTGGGTGCAGGCGGGGCATCATCGTGTGGTCTTCGACACAGTCCGTACGTAGTTTCTCGAAAGCATCCACGATCCTTTGGCGCATTTCTTCAGCACTATCACATTCACGATTAAAAACCCTTTCTTTCACATACCCCACAAAAAGAAGTCTAACGAAGTCAGATCTGGTTAGCGAGGTGGCCAAGCGTGTGGTCCTAGTCTGCCGATCCAGCGATCATCAAATAGCTCATTGAGGCGCTCACGGACGAACCTCACGAAATGTGGAGGGGCACCATCATGTTGGAACCATGTGCGGCGATATTCAGCCAACGATAGGTCGTTTAAAATGTCAACCAACTGTTCATTTATAAAGTTTAGGTATCGCTGTCCGTTCAGTCGCTCTGGCAGAAACACTGGTCCCAGTATGCGATCCTTAAATAAACCTGTCCATACGTTAACCGACCATCGGGTTTGGTGCCCGGTTTGTCGAACAGCGTGCGGGTTAACCTCTGAATACACGTGTGTATTTCTTCGGTTCCACAGGCCGTTTCTGGTAAATGTCGACTCATCCGTCCAGATAATGTGCTCAATGGAACCAGGCACACGTTGTTGCTGGTATAATAACCAACGGCAGAAAACTTGTCGGCGGTCGTGATCGCCGGGAACTAAAGCTTGCACTTTGTGCAATTTGTATGGGCGCATTCGGTTACGCTTCAACACTTTGTGCACTGCACAGTATGACACACTTGTTCCATCCCGACGTCTTAACAATTTATTTAGCGATACTTCGTGTACCTAGGTTCGGATACCTAACATGTTGCCGTATTCATAATCATTAGAAACGTACGCGTTAAGCATTATTAAAACAAAAAACGTAACAACAAGAATAATACCAACAGGTAATCAAGTAACAAACAAGTATTAACAATTTAATAAAGAAAACGATTGAGCTGTCGCTCGCGCACGCGTGTACAAAATCAACACGGAACTGTTTCAAAAACTACAATTAATAACGAACCCCGACGAATAAACTGAAACCTACTGCGTCACAGCGTGAGGCGACACGAGCCGGCCGGGTTACATTCTGCCGTCAATATAAAGAAGGACGCAACTAACAAAAACGTAAAATAGAAATAAAAAATAAATTTATGAATTTTTCTTTCAGACCCCGTGTCTAAAGTATATTAAGAGGTATCTATATGAAAATTGAAATATGTACGTAGAGACATGAAGATTTTAAGGACGAACTTATTTTTTTGATAATTTGTTTATTTATTTAAATAAAACGAATTTTCCTTTTCATCTTAGATTAAAAAATACACCTGGCAACACAAAAACATCGAAGGAAAGACGCATATAACTATTTGCGTCTTCCCAACCTAATAAATAAAAAAAACTGCCATTCATTTAATATTTTTACATATTTTGGAAAGGTCATTTGAAGTTGAAAGGACGCTAATAGTAATTTACTACTTTTTTCTTAGTAAATATTAGAAAAGCATTGGTAGTCAGACACAAAAAATAACAACCCGCAACTCTTGAGTAATGATTTTAAAGGGGATATCATACAAGACTAACTACGATAATAATTAAAAATTAAAAATTTTGTACAACCGACTTTAATATAAATAATTAAGGATGACTCAAAAACTATTGGTCTGACCTCGATCAAATTTATATGGGACCACATGTGAAACACCAGCTCTTAGTAATAAGATATAAGCTCTTAATAATAAGATTTAGAATAAAAAGACAAGAATAATTGAAATTTAAGTGCAAATATTGTTAAAGATGACGTAGCCACTGGTTAAATAAGTCTTTTCTTTTATGTTGAATTTGTATAAGTCTTTTCTAATAAAAAGATGTCATCTGTGATCAACAGTTACGTCTAAAATTCTTACGATAATTTCTAAAATATTGATATTTGTGAATATTAAAAAAATTCAGTAGATGCGCCTTCTTATCATGAGTCATGGTATATTTAACTCATTTATTCAAAAATTGTTAGATGCGCCCTTTTTTCTTACGACCGCAGCATTGTTTCGTACCGAGCTAGATACAGGTCGACAGCGGAGAGAGTGTGGGTACAGTCGCGTTCTAAAGTACTACATTGTATTGGGCTATTGTTTTATAATATTATAGTAATTAATTGTTTAATTGTAGAATCATAATAGGTGTTTTACTATTTACTTAGAACTTTGGAAGAGGTGGGAATTAAAAATGGATAATGTTTACTTGAGCATTATTTGTTATTTCTATCGTAAAATATAAAGTAGTTTGTAACAAAAAAAAACTTAAGCTAAGGGTGACACGCCGTCCATTATGACGTCTTGGGTCACATGAAAGTCAGATGTTGATGGTGTGTTGGTGTTACTGGATGCTACTTCATCATCACTTTCATCTTCGCTTGAGCTTCCGTCATCAGGTCGATCACATGGTAATTTTTTCGGTATTCTCTCTCAACACTTTACTGCACAATTTTCCCCATTCACCTTCTCCTATCATATTTACCTTTTCGTTCACTAGTTTAGTCATAAAACAATAGATATAAATAATTTTTGTTTCCTTCCTTTTTAAAAAATCGTCGCGAGTCGCAAAGTAAGCTGTGTATGCGACTGTATTTTTGGAGCGAACAAAGCGCGGGAACCAATAGCATGCAGGCACAGTAATACTGGCGGATTGTTCCCCCGTCGCGCCCCTTCGTACCTATATGTGATAAATCGCTCAGTGCCCAAGTTCAAGGCCAGCGTTCTTTTTTCACCGTTCGCGCGTACATTAACCTCCATTAGTCAGGTGATATCAATTCAGTTTCCACTGCTGGTTTTATGTTTCAGTATTTTCATAATTTTTTTTATGAAATTATCGATTCATTTAGCTGTACTAACATGATGGCGCGTGAATAAAGCTAATAAAACGTTGTAAAAATATGATTTTTTTTTCATCAGGATCAAATTTATTTGTGACCCATGATCAAAGGTATACTTGGTGCTGTCGCCTGCCTTAGTTTTCGGGAGCGTTCCAAAAATACCCTGTATATACTCGTAAATGGCACATGGACAAATATTCAGACCTGAAGCAATTATTTGTTTATGTTAATGCCTCAGAAATCATTAACTAATCCACCTAAGTGGTGGATTATTTAATGATGATAAAAAAAATTTTTTTTAAATATCTTCATATTTTTATTAAAATATTAAACATTAATTATTCCTTGTTTCTATTTAAAAACATTAGTTAAATTTCATCAGACAAAACAACAACTTTTATTCAATATATTCGTTCTTTTTTTGTGTATTTCTTTTTATCCTTCACGGTGTAGTGGCGGGCGGTATGAAAGAGTCCACTACCCCTTGTTTTTCCGTGGGTATCGTAAGTTGCGACAGAGGAAAACTGATTTAGGAAATGGGTAGCAGCGTCTTCCTAATAACAACATCAAATCATTAAAAAGTTGCAGTTGCCAATCCGCATGCCAAGCGTGGCAACGATGGCAATATCCTCACCATAAAGCATTCTATGGGGGTGGCCTATGTTTAGCAATAGGATTTTATAGGCTGTAATGGATGGATGGATGAATGTGACCTTTATTTTTTATACAATGAAATTTAAAAACTAAAAAGCTGAAAAATAGCTTTATTTTGAAATTAATGATAACCTATTTCAACAGCATTATCGCAAAATCCTTTTCAACTAATAACTATAGTCATGAATAGCATGTCGCTCAAATCCCGTATATCACAGTAAAATAAATCCCGCAAGTGACTTTTGTAGAGTTAGCAAGCCTAAATATGATGGTCTTAGTTTTTTATAATTATAAAAAAGGTTTCAAAGATAATGTAACTCACACTGGGCATGTCTCAAGGCGCAGCATCAAGTCCCGTTTCCCTAGCAGCAGTAAGGCGTTTCGTACGCAAGCAGCGGCGATTACTGATGGTAGCTCACTGCAGAGTGTCTTATCTACCATTAAACCGCATAAGCAGATAAAGGTCGCTGCTAATTCAATCTCATCTGGATGATCGTTATCTGACCACCAGGACAAATATGTTATGTAATCTTGAGGCACAACTGGTTGCGATGGAAATTTCTGGGAAAAGTGTTAAAAATAATATATAAAAATGGTAGAAGCTATTAATACTATTTCGATTTATATGTCACTATCACTACTCTACAGTCTATCACAAGTTCTCTGCAGAACATGGACCTTCCCGAAAGTACGGTCCAAAGTTACCTGCATCCATGGAGGCATACCTGCATGTTTTATTAGTTTGTCACTTTTTCTATTGGCGGGGTATCGGATCGGATGAATATTGTGCTTACAGGTACCAAATTGCCACTCAAGGGACTTTTATCCCCGCCACAAAATAAAGAAAACTTAAAATCGATTAGTCGTGGAAGAGGACACACGGCATTTTTCAAAATCTTCATGACAGTTAATGATGATCACTAAAAATCTTGTTTATAACAAATAAGAAAAATAAAAAAAAAACAATGCTGCTATCATATACAGAATGGGGTCCCACATATATGCAATAAATGAAACCACATACTTGTTCAATCTATGGGAGGCCTATGTACAGCAGTGGACTTTAATAGGCTATAACGGTAACGGTAACGGTATATACCAATGCAACGGCAATAGAAGCTTCGCAATGCGATCGATAGTTTGAAAAGTTAAAAAACGTATTAAAAAAGATAGACATGTTACACACTAACATTATTGTATTTTAAAGTGGCACAGGTAGTACTATATCTACATACAGTTATTTATTATGACACATTGTGCTAACAAAAAAAGACAAATGATACGGCATACTTATCGTTAGTAAAAGATGAATATACATCATTAGTTGCGTATTGATTGCTGCTGAGCGCTCATTGGCGCGAGCGCGTGACATACCGATATGGAAATGAACACACTAGCTAGCGTCAAAGTTTACACTAGCGGTTAGTGTTGAAATCATAAAACCAATTATGAACAAAATATCTATATTCAAAATATTAATGAGACGTTTTTCTTGTCTCTAACAGTTGCCGTGTAATTTGTGCACCACCTAAAAACACAGGAAGGCATTTTTACCACGAATAACTAGAAGATTTATGCGCTGTAGCGAAGGTATAGCCGCGAAGCGAGAGCATGCCCGACTGAATGCGAGTCGGGCAATTACCTAACTTTCCTATTGCCACTTTAGAGCGAGTATGACGTATCTATACTTTAAAAACATCTTAGATATTTATATGATATTAATTAATTACAGTCTATCAAATTTCAATGGCCTCCTCAAAGATTCCCTCAAAAAGGATATTTGCCATAGTTGCCACGCTTATGTTTCACCCAGAGGCGAAGATTTATTTTTGCCTCTTACACAACCAACGAGACGAAAGAAAACTTAAAGTAGAAAAGTTAAAAGTAAATCCTATATACGTACTACCGTTGGGACAGGCCTTCTCTCATTTCTGAGAGGGCTTTAGGGCAGGGAAATGTCCGCCGCTCTGCTCTAATCCGTGTTGGCGAACTTCACATGTCCTCGAAATATTTTTTTCTTATTTCTCAGACATACAGGTTTCCTCACGATGTTTTCTTCACCGCCGAGTACTTACGGTAAATTAGCGCTTAAAATTGCAATTAACAATTTCATTGATGCCGGCGAGAATTGAACCCGTGTTGCTCGCGTACTGTGAAGTTGACACCGAGCGCTTAGTCCCTAAGCTACCACGGCTCTTAAACTAGAAGTTAAAATTAAAGTCTAGGTACTGGCAAGAGTTAGTCAAGATGGTCTAGTGTAACTTACTAATTTATTTAAAATCGTTTTCTCCGCCTCCAATAATTGTGTTCTATTGAAGGCTCCGTTTGAATATTTAATAAGAACAGAAGAGGGAACCACTGGTCCGTGATGCTTTCGAGCAATCCAGTAGCTAGCGGCTGCAAGCGGCTGCAATTCATCTAACCGAACGCTAGTGATGCTTAACACCGAGTCCAGATACCAGGATGCTGTCTGGATCACCGCTGGATTGCCTTCGGAACCCTATTAATAGAAAATTGTTTATAAAAATGATATTGTAATTAAAAAGGCTGTAGTAACGCCTTTATACGACCCACTAATGGGCACAGGGCTCCTCTCATTCCTGAGAGGGTTTTACGTCAAGGAAATGTTCGAATATCATGGAAAAAAGTCACAATTATTAAGGGATGACGGGTGTTTTTCAAATGAATACCATTGTACACGACCCTAACTGCCCCAACCAAGGGTGACGGGATTAGGGCCCATGAGTAATCCCATCCAATCCCAGAATATGGCCACGTGGAATGTGTTCTAAATACAATAAACTATATGGGAGAAAGCTAGAAACACATAGTACTTACCATTATCCGAAGCTAACTTCGCACCAAGGCTTGGGCAGGCCGTGAGTGTGTGTAATAGTGGATGGCGAGTAGTGTACAGTGAGGTGTGAATGTGTGGGGCCTTGGCAAGCATAGGCAACTAGCAGCGGCCGAGTTCCAGGCTGCTCCAAAATGAGGTAATCTTCCGCGGCGCCGTCCACAGTCACTTTCTTCGTTCGTCACGATGACAGTCCATTAACTCTATCGTACGATTAACTAACTTACAGAAGCCACTAACTCTAATTTGTTATAAAGCGTAACACCCAAAACAAATACAGAATGTCGGTCTATACGAAATCCCGTTACTATAAGCAAAAACGTAACACACCGCCCGAGTAATAAATATTGTCAAATCAAATTAGAATAACCAAATTCGCGGTAAATTAGGCGCGCCTAACACGCAATTCAGACTTTGATCGCAGTCAATGTTAACTTCCTAACAATTTGTCAGCCCGGCGTCGAATTCTAGACTTAACAAAGACACCTTCGTCGTGGCAGCGTCTGCTAACAAAACTGACTCCAAAAATGGAGGTTTCCCGGGCGTCCTTAAACGTGCTCTCGTTAGCAAAGTATTATAGCAACTGTTCGACTCGACTCCGCCGCCGGTAGCAAAATAACTTTCTCGCGCAAACGTCAAACCGGTACGAATGCACCGCGCCATGCGCCCCCTGGCGTTAGTTCCTGAAATTAGCGTTTGGCGCGAACAAACCCCCGTCCCGGACATAAGGACCTATGTCCGCGAGCAAACCGGCAAGCGGGACAGGGTCGCGACGGCACGTTGCAAGACCGAATCTACACCAAAACTAGGTCACCTTAGGCACCCCATCAGATCTTGCAACCCTAGCCACCGCCTCAAAAGATAGCCCCAATGGGGCAAACCGGAGGGTCAACCTCTGCTGGATGCCCCTGGTGAGCATCGCAGCACCTTAATAAGTCCTGTACTGGACCGAAGTCCGACGACCTCTTTCAACACCTATCTGTGCCCCTATGATTCGTTCCAAAATCCGACCGGAACAGGTCTGCAAACAGCGACGCGACACGAAGCGGCCCAGCGTGGCCTCCTAAGCTTCAGTGCAGAGAGCACCCACAAATTCCACATGAACGTCGTCTGTGGAGAGCCAAACGAAACGCACAGATAGTCCTTAGTATAGATAATCAAACAGTAGGCATCATCAAGCCATCTACTATGTAACTATTTACTTAATTGTGCAGTAGCTGATTTCAATCTGACAATCTCTCAACTAGCTAGCCTTTTAGAGATGCAGTCCTATGCTTATATTTCAACCAAATTTCAAGAGCATTAATACTCAACTACATAATTAATTCAACCAAATTAATCACCGATGCACATAAACTTGCAAATTAAACAAAACAATAAACGCAAGAGACAGCCCTATTTCTCATTTAAATAACTTAGACAGTGCCAACAAAATGTAAACCAAAGGAGAATTGACTTTTATTTACTTCGGCACAAATACGGTTATCTAACTTCAGCCTTCCTTTTCACAAAGCAAAATGATTAAACACTATCATAAAACATACACATAATTTTCAAATAGCGCGACATTCAATTTCAAATGAATTCAAACTTTCTTTTCAGCAACCAGGCGCAACAATCAAATACAATTACAAAGCATATGCACAAGCATTCAAAAAAGGCACATAATTCTTACTTACTTATCTTCACGCTCAATCCCTGACGGGGTAGCCAGAGAGAACAGATCGCCAAGTGTCACGATCCTTATAAACCTCTTTCGCTTCTTACAGATTCATTATCTTCTTCATGCATGCACGTCTAGGTATCTGAGTACTCTTGACCCTACCCTCTTCGAGTAATTTGCTGACATGGTCTTCGAAAGTTAGTCTCGGTCTACCTCGACACCTTTTAATATTAACTTTCGCGCTATATATTTTCTTCACCATTCGGTCTTACACATAATTCAATTTCAATTTTCCGTGCAGCAACAAACACAGTGATTAAATATATTTACAAACATATGCAGCAGCATTTAAAGGAGTAGATTGAATTCAATTCTTTTAATCACAACCGCTACAAATATGGAAATTTCGCGGAAAACCCAAAAGCATTTTTAATTTTAATTTAAAGAATTTTTAACTATGTGCTCGACCAAACCAAATCTAATACCCCTTGACAGCGTGATTCAACGCTCCAAGGGGGCCCTAATCTTCCCACCACCAAGGGGAGGCTACACGGCGTGAACCCGAGACCAATAGAGCGCGAACCGCTAACAGTCGCCACTCGGGTTGTACGCCTTCACTGAGGCCGTCGGCAACAGAACATTTTGAAAAGTGGACTGTTGACGGCTTAAGGCTCAGTGGAGGCGACCGTGGTGAGAGCTAAGGCGGCAGCTAGCCAGGGCCGCCTCCATCAAATGGGGAACAGTGATACACCAGTCGCGGCCACTCAGCTAACGAGAGTGAGAAGGGTCCAGCGGACCGATGAGTGGCCGTGAAGTTCTCCAAACGCTGAGGGGGGTTGATGACACCCCCGCCCCTGAGGGAATTACCCCCCGACGGGTCGGGGGAGGGACCCTTTTCGAACCTAGGGGCCTGGTGGCTGGCCGGCGGGCGCTGAGAGTCGCCCGTCAGAGGGCGTGGCTGAGCGCCCCCGCCCGTGGGGGTCGAGGGCCTGGCAGAGCCCCGAGAGGAGACGCCATTCGCACCCAGGGACAAAACTGCATGGTGCTTGCCCTGGCAATGCAGACAGGGCCGCCGATGTGGACAGTCTCGCTGGAGGTGCCCTCCCAAACATGAGCAGCAGCAGCGGCGCTCCTTGGCGATAGTTCGCCTCGCCGGAACCGGCTTACCTAATAATTTCGGGCACGACGTTACCCGGTGATCAGATGATCGACAATAGGAGCAGAGGGGGGTTGACGACGACTTGCCTGGCGGATTCAGCCTCTCACTGGACACGGCTCGTAAGTCGTCAACGGTTCCCGTCGCGTTCTCGATCTGCCGGGACTGCTCCTCCAAAAACCGCAGCAGGTCATAGAAGGGCGGAATATAGGAGGCCTCGTCCCCGCCTTACCTCTCCTCAAAATGGATTCGAAGGTCGAGAGGTAGACGGGACAGCACGATGCGGAGCAACAAAAAAGCCCATTCGCCCACTGGTAAATACAGCCGCCTCAACGTATTACAGGCCACCAAGACTGGATCCAACAGGTCCGGACGTAGTCTGGCCCGGTCACTAAGCAGCGGGAGGCTTAGAAGCTGCTTAATATGTTCGTCCGCAATTCGCCGGACGTTGGCGTATCTTCGGGCTAGGAGATCCCGAGCAGTCTGGTAGGCGTCGTCCGACAATCACAAGTAGCCGACGACGCCCAGGGCCCCCCCCTCCAGTGAGGCCAGGAGGTACGCCATCTTTTGGCTCGGGGTCAAGTCACTCCGGGCGTCCACAAGGCTGTCGAAAAGACCAACGAAGGTCAGCCATTCGGAAAGGACCCCGGAGAACTTTGGCAGGTCCAGAATTGGGAGTCGTCCCAACAGCTCCGGTTGAAGCTGCTTCCGATAGGACTCGGGCAGGCCACTCATCCGAGCTTCACGCGCCTCCTCGGCATACCTGCCTTCAGCCTCGATCAACTCGTCCGTGAGCGAAAAGAACTGCTCATAGTCCGCGAAGCAGGAGTCCAGGACTCCCTTCTCCACATCCGAACCCTCGAGCTCAGCACCTGCTCGAACCGCTTCATCAAGTTATGGACCCTATCCGGTCGACCTATCAAAGCATGGGCGCTTGTGGCCTAGCGTAACTCAGTCCACAGGCAACGGATTAGTAGCTTGGGCGATGACATCACTACTAAATACAAATTACGACGCGGCTCGAGCACAAATTATAAAGATAACAAATAAAAAATACAACAAAAAATTAACAGTTAATAAATGCAGTTCCTATCAAATCGAGTTGAATAGAAATTACACAAATACGAATTACTACTTATCAAACCAAATACAAGTTAGCACAAAAGAGAAGACACAAATCAAATTAACAAATAACAAATACTAGTGCGATCAAATCAAGTTAAATTCAAATTGCGCAAATACAATTACTACTCCTTAGTTCAAATACAAATTACAATACAAACGAAGATACACCTCACGGCCGATCAAAAAAAATGCCTAGCTCGGAAATCGACCCTTCGATAAGCAATCCACTACAACTATCCGACAACGATAATTAACCGATTACGTGATAATATCCATCTACCTACATGACGTATACCTTTAGAAAAACTCCCGCTTGCGCACCAAAAGGGCGCGGCTTTCAAATCTACCCGCTAACCAAATAAGCAAGCAAAAAAGGAAAATAATCTTATTATTACGTACAAAAAAAAATATTTTTACGTATTATGGACGGGCGTGATTGTAGATACAAAATTAAACCAATCAAACCAACGCTCCTTGCCACCAGAATTGTTTAATTTTTATCAAACACTACGGTCGGGATCGACCGGGGCATCGAACCCGGAACCACGCTCTGCTACCAGAATGTACACGCCCCTAGCTGCCCCAACCAAGGGTGACGGGATTAAGGCCCATGAGTAATCCCATCGACGGGCAGCAGAGGGGCGGGGCCAGAATATGGCCACATGGAATATGTTCTAAATACAATAAACTATATGGGAGAAA